GTGATCCTCAAAGATGATTTCTGTGGACTAAAATAATCATAATCAAATAACAAACTTAAGGGCGCTATTTGTTTTTTGCCTAATATCTAACACATGTATTCAATTCACGAAAATTCTGGTGAAAAGTAGAGTGAGGAGAATCGATACAGAATGGAGGAGTCAGTCTGTCTAAAACGTAATTTAATAGAGATAGAGGAACTTAGTAATGAATTTGAACGACATTCACATCAACGAGTAAACTGGTAGTTGTTATAGACGGCTTTTTTGTGGAGTCCTAGAAGCGAGGTGGTCATCTGAGTTATTCACATACAGTTCTTACGAGAAAGTTGCTGGAAAAAGAGGCAAAAGAACACGTGACAATGTTAAAGGATAATCTGAGTATCCAGTACTCCTTTTACTTCAATAAGCGAAATAAATCCGTTAATCAGTCTAACCCACTGTGTCTCGTTCTTAGAATGAAGTTTTCTCGGATTTCCTGAAATCCTGAAGTCACCTAGTCACAATATCTTTCGGAGTTATCACGTGCACTTTTATGCCTTTTTTCCGACAACCTTTCACGAAACTTCTATATTCAATTGCATGCGCCCAAGGACGATAATGGAGCAATATGCTTTATATTAAAATCGCGCAAAAAGGAATGTCTGTGGTATGATCATTAATATCAGCTAACAAACTTACTGGGATGATGTTGCAATCGGTTCTATAGCCGTCACTTCCATAAGGAAACTGAGCGATTTATGTGACCTAAGTGTTAGGTCTGACGTATCCACATGTTCCATCCTCCATTGTGTGACGTCATGTCACAGTGGGCCTGAAATGCATTGGAATGGCCTCCTCCATCCGGGTCCAACCAGTACACGCCATTACTCCGAGAAAAACCTCGTTCCTTAATGTCCAGGCAATTAAGTCCAATTGTGACAAATGGACCTGAATATTAAAAGGAATAATACCGGAGTTTATGTGACTAAAAGAAATTGGTTTATCAGTATGACTTATGACTACAGCTGAGTTCCGAAAATTCAAACCTTCGAGGGCAATTGAATTCGAAAAAAGTTCGTATCATATGAACTTATTAGGAGTTAAGGAATCACCGACATTTCTTTCGAACTTTGAAGATTTTAATCCAATGTTTTTGTTAAGGTAATTGCTTTTGGTAAAGCATGGTCAGATGAAAATGAAACATTTTGAGAAAAAGAATCTAAGCATTTAAGTTCGCTGAAGAAAAAGTGTAAAACAGGTTGTGTACACGTGCATGCTTAAAACTGATAACTCAGCGTTTTGGATTAGCGTGAATACTGTTCGTTTTGACTGGTCACATGATGAAAATTGTGTTTCTATAGAGCAAGGAAAAAACCAATTGGGAAATGTCGAGAAAGAAACGAAAACTGGTTTCAGTAAACAGAAGGTTGGAATCATCGGGGATTCTTGTTATTGAGGTTTTTTTTTTAATTTTTATGGAACCAAAGTGAAGCCTTTGCGACCAGTAGAAGACTACAGGGCCCAGTTGTTCAAAGGGCCAATAACGCTACCCAACAGCAAAATTGTTATACATTAAATAAGTGTTAACAAAACGTACTGCGCTATCAATCGGATAGACACATGATCGGTGAATACCGTTATTCATGCTTCGAACAATTGCTCGGATCGTTGAAGCAAGGAATCTGTTTCAACAAAATAAAATAATATTTCTTATCTTGATTGTTAAACAACAAATAGTTTCCATGTTTTCCTACTTCTGTTTTATAAAGAGATCACAGATGACGTCAAAAGTGTTAAGCATGAAAACTCGGCACACGAGGCGTAACGGAGTGTGAACTGGTGACTGGTTTCTTGTGATATATAAATATATAAAGAATCCTAATATTGCTATAGGTGCAGACATCTGTGCCTCTTTTCTTCTATAGATCATAAGTAATAACCGCTTAAGATGCATTTATAGCTCAGTCGTATATAATAATTCGTTTTCAATAAAATCGAGATATTCAAGATTGTACTTATAGTTTAACTGAAATGATAGAATATGGGACTGCTGCTAAGTTCATTGGGTGTTGGGTGTCGAACGGAAGCAGTTCACAAAACAGTTTTCCCCAGTTATCAGGAAATGCAGCCAGGCTGTACGAAAAACACGAAGTGATTTCCAAACAGGAAAATCCAGACTCGCTGCCATCTTGGACAAGTTCTGAACCAATTCTTGTAATATTTAAGTAAGAAAACGCTTCAGGTTTGAAGTTGATGTAAGACACACCCGCAGAGGAATCCTGGCGATGGAAACCTTGTAGCGAGAGAAATCATGTCTAAATTAGTTTTGCACGGAAGAGTGACTGAGGGTGGCCCCGTTTATATAGAAACAGGAAACTTGTCGACATGAAAACCCAGCAGTTTACACGTTGAACAAATAAGGTTTAATTTGTATCATAACATTGTCAATATTAAATGATAAAAGTCAGCGTTAGATATCACTGCACGAGACAACCTATTTTGATGCCTAGCCGAACTAAATGCCGACCGAAGAACTGAGAAATAGTAAATAAATAAGGAAATTTACCTTAAGTTGTGGTAAAGAGAAAAATTAAGGTCATCGCTACAGTTAGACCGATTTGTTGCGGTCGTGGATTCAGCGCCGTTGCAATCCGGAGCATCATGACTAAATTGTAGACAACAACACCTTCAACGTCTTCAATCTTTAAATCTGTCGTTTTCAAAGAAGCAACACCTGTGGGTCCATCTAAATAACGAATTAAATGAAAAGGCCTGTGTTTACGAAATAATATTTTTAATAGGCTTGCGTTCACGAAAGGTGGAATTCTATCGAGGAATCAGTGGGAGGTAACCCGTTCAGAACCATATTATTAACTAGAAATCGAGGACTGTTATCAAATTTCGACGAAAAGCGTTAGCTTCCTGCCATGGATACAGGCGTACATCACATCAAGAAAAAAGTGAAAGATGAAAAATGAAATAAAATGTGCGATTGCACTAGAACGTCTTAGTGGTTAACAGATTTTATTTACAACACATCTTTTGTTGCCATTGTTTTAGGACGAGTTCGAAATGCATCTCTGATTATATTTATTAAGCCACATAACAGTCACAGTCCTTACTACGTAAACAATAACAACTTTTCCCACCCTAGGAAGGCAATTATATAGTGACTTGAATATCTGCACCTGACAACGACACTGAACGCGGCAGCCAATCAGAGAATGATTTAAGACAAGAGTTAAATAACCTCTCGTTACGCGGGTTGGCAATTTCGTCCTACAAATGTAGCTGCGCGATTATCAATTGAATTGAACGAATCATTGTTAATACAGATGGATGTTTACTGGCTTTAACGGTTTAGGCACAGAAAAATTAAAATCAAGACTCTTCATAAGGTACTGCGATGTTGCTTTAGAAAAAAACAAAACTGTTAACAAACTGATTACAACATTGTTAAGAAATGATTAGCCATTTTTTTATAACCTTTCATCTCAGTTTTCCCTTTTAGACAGAAGCTTGATGCCAACAGAAAATGTGAACTGTTTACCTCGGTCTCACTGTTTATTGCTTTGCTAAGCCAATGAACGTACGTATACGTAGCATTAAAAGTACATGATCCATCTACTTTCTTTCTGAACAAATCTTGTTGTTTGTAATCACTCTACATGCTTACCTATTTTTCCAATGGATTATATATTGAAAACAACCTACAAAATGTTGCGTTTATAAAATTACAACGATACTGAAATTACTTTTTTATATCAATATTTTTAAAATATTCTCACAAGAGAGTGTGGTGTCATATTAAGATGAAGCCCTCTGTCTTTTCTTGTTACCTTGGTTGGTTAATGACAGAGGGATGTTACACGTAGATTGCCTCTACAACTACTACTACGAATACTTCCTTTATTTTATAGTGACACAGATTCTACTAAATCAGCATGTAAATTGCTTCAAGTCCTACTTCTACTTCTTCCTCTACTGTATTGTGACGCAGATTCCACCACATTTATACAATCTGCGCATAGGTGTAGGATGGGCAAATCTTGGCGTGTGCCAGTAATATATACATCCTGAGTTACATTAAACTGAAAGATACAAATACCATGCAGTTACAAGTTTAAAGTTAAAGCTGTCTTTTATTGTAAGCCAACTCTGATGCGCCGTTTATCATGGACATCATGACCTTTTACTCGCAAATTTATGCATCCTAAACGTAGGATTACCTAAAGTTTGGCTGTCATTACGAGCTAAACCAATGTGGAGAAGCCATTTCTGAACATGCTTAAATTCATATAGTGGATAAATATTATGCTACATGCCTCACTCTCTAAACATTTCGCAGACCAACATATTCATATATTGACAAAATACGTAGAATCCAGAGTTGCTCTGAAGGATTGGTTCACCACATTATAGAAATTAGATTATGGTGGCAAGGACATCAGAAGCACACGCACCTCAGATGTACTCGGCATACGCCCCTGAAAACCACTCAGAGTGATGGAGGTCTCCTCTTAAAATATGTATCTTATTATGGTTGTTATCATTATTATGATTATTATTACTTGATGGGGCGGGACTATTTAGAGAAACGACTTGGCCTATCTTGATTGTACGCGTAAAATTCTGGAAAGTTGCTCGTTGAAATACCAAATTCCTGTTGCTGACAAATTGCATATTTATACAAAAAGTTGCTACCTAAATTTTTTGATATTTTATTCAAACGTTAATCCAAATCTTTACTTTCATTCTTCACAATAATTGCAAACATTCGTCAAGAAAAGAAGCTTAAAACTTAGCTGTAGTAAATTGCTCGCAAATATGGGTTAGAAATTTAAGGATACTCTTATACCTAAAGGAACAAGATACATGTTTCATTTGACGTCTTGCCATCTTACAATATCAGACAAGAATCGCAACAGGCATGAGAAAAGTTCTCAAGTGTTGATAAACATTCAGAAATTTGCATAGATTAAAATTTTCTTTGAAAACTTTTGACTTTTTTTTGTGCTTGAAATGTGCCCTAAAGCCATATTTTGCACAAAAATTGGGCAATAAGGCAAAAATTGTTCGAGGTTGTTTGGACCACAAAAAGTTGCTCAAAATTTGCAGTGCACCATCGGAACAAGCCTAGATACGATTAGTATGTTATGCTCAGGTTTAAATATGACACACATAAGAAGGAAATCATGCAGCTCAATTCGTAAATGTCTCAGCGCAGACCGACACTGATGAGCCTTTTATCGAGTGTTCGGGCGCCATTGATGTTAAAGGCCACACCAAAGTATTTATAATGCTCATCGTTAGATGCAGTACGGAAGTATGGGGAGACTAAATCGTTGCACCAGCGATGACACTGCTTGTAACAATTTGTGTAACCAGAGACGAAGAAGCCACTGTAGAATGAGGTATCACAAATCAGTAGCTGATAAAGATAGGCGTCGCTCACTCCCACACCGTCCCAAAATCCATAAGTAGCAGCATTGTTCCCATAATTCAAATTGGCCGTTGTGGACTGGTTGGTTCTTCGCTTGAAATACACTTTAGCCAAAGTTTGATGATCCAAGAACATAATCTCTGTAAACTTGAAAAAGAGACAATGCGTATTACATGTTGTAAAATTCTGACCTTTTTCACAGCCTTTGTCTAAGTTTTATGTGCTTTAGTATTTTCTTTAGCTAGGAAGGCACAGTGCAGCAGTCATTTTCAGTGCAGTGAACGAATAGATACGAGTATATAAAATGCATTATAAGGAGAGAATACTAAGCGATCCGTATTCATAGGGATAAGAGGTTATTCAATCAACTTACAGAGATGTTGTTGCAGTTGGTCCTGTAGTCGGCAGTTCCATAAGGAAAAGAGGCATTGTATGTGACCTCGGTCCTGGGTTTGACGTATTCATCGGTAGTGTAACACATGGTCCAACCTCCATTGTATGACGTCATATCACAGTAGGCCCAGAATGCATTTGAAAGGCTTCCTCCATCCGGGTCCAATTGATACATACCATCTCCACCAGAATCACCTCGCATCTTAATGTCTTTGCAGTCTTTCCCCAGAGCTTGGGAAAGGAAAAAAATCAGCATACAACTCACTCAAGTCGCAATAGATATCGAAATAAATGTAGCACTGAGCAAGATATAGTTGGATGGTAATAAATTGAACATGCTACGTCGACACACCTATTTTTATTTGACATTGTGTTCCTTTAAATCCTGGAGAGCATGCGCACTGATAATCATCATCGATGTACTTGGCCACACAAGTTGAACCGTTCATGCAAGGATCACTGGAGCAAGGGTTCTGTTGAAATGAATAAGCTGTCATTTGCATGAAGCAATATCAACGACTCATTATTTATTAAACAGCTCTATCAATCGACGGTGTGTGATTGGTGGACACTATGGTGATACAAAATTAAAGAACATGAGATGATGAAGTTACTTCCGAATGTGTATTCTCGACTTTTGTTGGCCACTAATAATGCTATAAATTTAGTTCACACTATTCCTCTGACAATCATTTTTTTCCCTGTCAGTTGCTAAAACTGAAACAAATGAATTTGCACCTACCGGGATACTGAAATGGTTGAAAATCGGGCTGTAGATGAATTTGTCTGAGTTGTTATACTTGTCCGATGGAAGCAGTTCACATGACAGTTTTCCATTGGCATCGGGAAATGCAGCCAGGTTATAAGAGAAACATGAAGTGATTTCCAAACAGGCAAATCCACACTCGATATCCTTTCGGACAAGTTGTGAGCCGATTCTTGTGATGTTGAGGTAAGCAAACTCTTTAGGCGCGAAGTTTCTGTGAAAGACACCTGTAAGGAATCGAATCAAGAATCGATTTTACATTTCAAGTTCAAATAAAGCTTCCCCTTCATATATCGTGCAAAAACTATATTTCTGTGTTGAAGAAATGCCATAATCTAGGTCAAAGTTATTAAGTGCAATGCTGTTTAACGATTTTGAGAAACGTTGACGGGTTTGCATGACTAATTTACAGACCAGTCATTGCTCAATTCTATCATGAACTGAACTGAAAGGTATAGATTCAGATATAAATCTATGCCGCAAATAAATTGATGGTTTCACTGGGCTAAAAATGTGAGCCTCAAGCTAATGCTAGCATGCCGAAACTTCGCAGATATTTTCTAGCGCCTCGGACCCAAAAAAAAAAAAAATGAAAGAGGTCGCCATGAATGCACCAGTTGGAGAGAAGAAAATGGGAAATTCCATGTCAAAAATGCTTATGTAAACACGTACATCCATAACATGACGTGTGCTGTGCAATTTCATTCAGCTGCAAGTTCCCGTTCAGTTTTCAATCCTTTGGACATTGTTTTACTGTTACATCCCGACTTATATAGACGTTTTGGAGCTCAATTGAAAAGTAAATATGCTAATCTACTGTAATTTTTTCGAAAAACAATAAGAATGTGGATCTTTCAAGCAAAAAAATTTGCTTCGGAGTTAAAGATACTTCGTTCCCAAACGCGATGCCAATTATGTCTGGAAAAGAACAAATTCATCTTCTGACTTTAATTGAGGCTTTGCGGCGAGGGGATAATTCTTTGGAACGGTAAATATTATTTTTAAGTTTTAATGTCCTAAAAGTATTGTTCAATAGAAGATTTTGATTTAAATCGTAAAATTCTGAGAAGTTTCAACGCAAAGCCTCGCAATTTTCTGGCCGTGAATTTTTAATAAACAACAATTCAAACATACTGAATCTACTTCACGGTCTCGTGGTAAATGTAAGAAACTCGTTCGTTTTAAGCTTCTTGTCAGCAGTTGAGCTTTGATTGCCCAATATTTCTTGTTCGTTTATGCCTTGCCTTTTACCCATTGTTTTCGGGTAAATCGCGATGACACGGTAAACCCGACACAATAACATTAAGACATCTAACTGACGATGAAAATTTTGGCCATTTTACAGCTAACGTTTAGTTTCTTTCTGTTTTAATTGAAAAACAAATCGACGGTTAACTTTTTATACGACTTAAGGTTAAAATTTGTCAATTCTGACACTTAATGGCTAAATTTAACCACATTAAAACCCTCCTAAAACATCTTGAGACAAGTCTACTTTGTGAGTGTAGTTCGATTTAGCAGTGACCGTTTTGTGGCTGACTTTTGTGAATGATTTAAAGCTTCAAGCTGTTATACATGGGTGTTAACTAAGATCTTAGTCTTCGCTCGTTATCATAGCGATGATGATCGGGTCAGACTTTCTGTGAAGGATTTTTGGGCGATTTCGGTCCTTTCCGGCGCATTTAGTTATAGAAAAAAAAGCAATTCTGTTTGAATGCTCATAACAAACGGAACCCGTTTTTCATTATTTTGATCTCCATCGTTTGACTCCCAAACGTTCAGTTTGATCGTCTGTTTTCTGTGACGTTGCAACAATAAAAACACTCGAAATCGCGTGAAACCACATCTGAAAAAAGGGAGAAAAGGCCAAAAAAGAGGAGTTCTCGGTAAAAGTCAGTTTTGCCGAGAAAAGAAGAATAGGAAAATAAAGGAAGAAAAAAGAAGCAGAAGTGCGACTCATGAAATTTGACTTTCGTGTGCATGGTGCGTATCAAATATTGGTCTCAATTTCCAAAAAACTTTCATCTAAAAAAACAAATGTGTTATCGTTTTCATCTAGAACTGAAGAGTCGTGCTGAATAATCAAAATGTGTTTAACTACTTCAAGAGAGTCCTTATCGATGCTTACGGACCAAACATTGAAACTACAAAGTCCGATAACATAACAGAGTCATACTCGAATCAAACATAAGTTCGTTCAAAACGACAAAAATAGCAAATTTTAGAAACCATACCTTCACAAATTATCAAGATATATATTACGGTCATCGTTACAATCAGATCCATCCCTTGTAGTCGCAGATTGAGCCATGTGGTGGCACGGAATTTCATAACTGAACTGTTGACAGACAAACTTAATATACGTTATTTTCGCAATGCTGAAACGAAAGTTTCAAAAACAAGCACCTATGGCCCTATCTAAATGAATTATTAAACTGTTTCCTTATAAGCCAAGGCATTGCGGAGACCGGATAATGATTAGAATTCAAGTACTAAAATTTGTTTTCCCATGAAGGCTGTTGGAAATAAAATGATGCACGTACGCATAATACAAAGACTATTTTAGAAATTTGTGCAGCTGCGCCAGAAAATTGATATTCCTAAATTCAGAACAAACAAACTATTCTTATTGTTACCCTTATGATACCGATCGAAGATTAATATGCAAAATAAAATGAGTAAGCCGCCAAAATTTTTTAGTATTTCTGCCGTCAGCTTTTGAACATCCGAGTGATTCTCTAAATTCGAGACTTATTACAGCCTCGCCGTTTGTTAAAAGCTCTAATTTTGGTAATGAATTGGGTTTATCATACCCCCAAGGGATTCTAGTTGTAGCGTCTGACAAAAGCGAAGTTTAAAAGAAGAATAAAAAGAAGCTGAGCCTATAACTGAGTCCAGAAGTTCACAAGTTGTTTATCATACCCCCAAGGGATTCGAGTTGTGGCGTCTGACAATAGCTTAGTTTATAAGCAGAATTAAAAGGAGCTGAGTCTATAACTGAGTTCAGATGTAGAAAGAAACGATAAAAACTCAACATAAAAACCTCTCGTGGGTTTATTGTGCTACAAACACAGCTTTCTTTCCTGGATCTCGAAATAAACAGCTCATTCTTGGGAAACAAGGAAACAAGGAAACTGGAAACAAGCAAACCCTTCTTATTTTTACCATACCGATTAATATGACAAATTTTAGAGTATCTGTGTCGTCAGTCTTTGAGCATCCAAGTGATTCTCTAAGTTCGTAACTTATTACAGCCTCACCGTTTGTTAAAAGCTCTAATTTTGGTTATGAATTATTTATCATACCCCCAAGAGATTCTAGTTGTGGCCTCTGACAAAAGTGAAGTGTGTAAGAATAACTAAGAGAAGCTGAGTCTATAACTGAGTTCAGAGGTAGAAGACAGTAAAAAAACGAAGCATAAACAACTCTCGTGGGTTTACTTTGCTACAAACACAGGTGTCTTTGTCAAATCTCTTTGTTGTATGATAAATCCTTTTTGACCAAGCATGGCTTGACATTAGACTCGTTCTCTTCCGTTATTTATGGAACTCAACGTCGTCTTGGTCAATAAAAACGCAAAAAAAACTCGGTCAAAACCCAGTTATCTTGACCTTAGGTTTGGTCAATAACACATACGTAATAATTAGGTTACCAGTCATTGCGGGGGTGTTCATAGGGCAACGAGGCGACTTCTGCACAGACGCGAATTTACCCCTGCTATACTGCAGTATAGGGAGAATAATTTCATTCTTCTTAAAAATTACGTAAACGGTCCATGCAAACGAAAACCCGTCAAAAATCTAGCATTAAACGGTTTCTTTGGTATGGGGAGTCTCCAAGTAAATATTGGCTCAAGTAATTCTTAAAAGTCCGCTGGTTTTTAATGTACATCTCGATTGTTCGAAGCTTTGAGAGGAAAACTATGGACAAGTTGTGAATTAATGGGGCAGTGATCTCCTCGTAATCTACATCATCATCCACGTTGTCGTCGTCATTATCATCATTAACATTTTTTTTCTCTGTAAAAAACATCCTTTCTGTGATGCGCATCGTCTTGAAAGCGCTTCGTTTCTAGTGTAGCGACGACAGAATGGCGACAACAAAGCACCACATGCTGTCCCTCCATATTAATCAATGTGCAAATACCCATCAAAAGGTTTGCGTTTTCATATGATAAAGAGTTTTCATAGACATATGAAAACTAAACAATAGAACTAGCGCTAGTGCTTCGTTTGCTGGATACGAAAACGGATACCTTAAAAATAATAACAACAAAAAGAAAAGTAACAGAGGATTGGACACCTTAGTTATTACTCTTAGATATTAGAGTGGGAAGGCGAGTATTTCGAAATTGCTTGTCTGGAATTGAAATAGCCAATGAGAAATATTCCAAGTTACTTCTTTGAAAATTTAATGCATGAACTACTTAAAAAAGGAGTTTAAAGAACATTTATTATCTGTGCCTCTCGGTTTTGCTTCTAGTTTCAGTTGGCATCAGTTTTATATCAGTGATAGCAATTAACGTCAACGTTTCCACGCATATAAAGTGAGCATTGCTGACCTTCTCCTCCTTCTCCTTATCGCCATCGACATTGTCGCCATGGTGTCAACGTTAAACTGTTACTGCTTTTCTAGATTTGTCAGTTGCGTTCATTTTTTTGTAGAAAAGCACCTTCATTAGCAACCGGTCCTTATTCATCGCCTGGGCGGGAAGGGGTGCGACGCCGGGCGGGTCGGAGCAGGGCGGGGCGTGACGGGTCGGGGCGGCGGATTTTGGTGGGATCACGTGGTTTTCAAGGGTAACGGAGGAGGATCAGTGATCGCCAACACCTGTGTAAAGGATAGACTACAGACAACTAACTTCCCGTGAGGGGGAGGGGTCATAGGGCCATAGGAATATTACAGAGCCCTGTGGGGGATACAGGTGAATTTTATCGTGACACAACCAAAATCCTACGAACTCCCCCATCCCCCCCATCCGACCGAACGGTTCTTCAGCTCATTTGATTTGTGCGATATGTATACTTCAGGTGTGATTTAGCGCATAAGCATCCACTCTCAAACGTTTTGAATCAAATTCGAAGAAGCTGATCATTTTACCGCAGGCCCACACTATTGAAGAGCAGTAATCAATACAGGAAGTTAATAGTCGCTTCTGGAAGTTAATTACTTAAGGCTTGTTTTTTTTTTAAGTAATGCATTTCTATTGACCGAGGCAAAGTAAATATTATACCCGTAATTGGCGATATCAGGTGAAAGTTAATAGCTTTTGTTACCTTACTTTAAAACTCTTCTCAATAACTGATAATATTAATTGACAGTATCATTCTTACAGCTCTAAGCTTTCCTCCTGCGTCTAATTTTGGAAAGACGAAGTAATGTCCTGCAGCTAATCATTAACTCTCTGACGTATAATGAATATCTGTGGTCGCTTTTCTTTCGTTAATCTGACATTAATTTTTGCAGAGTAGACGAGGCCTTCCAAACAGAATAAAAAGTCGTCTGAGATCTTTTCAATTAGATAAAAGTGGACAAACGGGCAAACATTTAATTTTAATAATGTCCTTAGAAGTTCCTCAGTGGAAGTATGGTTTAAAAATAAATGAATTCATAGAAAGCTCTGCAATATTAATGTTTAAATTTAAAATTAGCAACAACTAAATTACAAGACGCGTCTAATGGGGAACAACTTTAAGGGACTTAAAATTTCGGGTTACCAAATTTTTGCTATACAAGCCTTAAAATTCACGTCGAACGCACAAATCGTTAAAACAAAACGCTTTGATAAATTGCATTCTAGCTTTCGAGAGAAGACGTCAAACCAATTTTCTCAGAAGAGCAAATATTGGCTCACGCTTTCGCTCTAAACATTTAAGTCATAGATACATGGAACATAAAAAAAAACGATGCATTTTGGCTAAAGATTCAACGGCTTCTTTAAAAGGTCTTGAAAGTGTAACATGATATTGGTTTGGTTGGATAGCCTTGTGTTTCAGGGAGTGAGTAAACAAATGATATCATCAAAGGCAACTGATGTTCTTTCATTTACAATTTTCAAGTGAAGTGTTATTACTAGCAGTTTAATTAAAACAACAATTCGACCTTTCCTCAACACTAGGCTCAAAGATGCTATTCCCCCCCAAAAAAAACAAAAATAAAAAACAAAGCAAAATAAAATTCAGTCGCTATCTAACTTGAGATATTTTTGAATAGCTTATCGCTTCTGCTACGATGAGCGATGCGAGAATGAACAATAAATGAGTTCATTCAATTCAAAATCATTCTGTTACAGCCAAGGCTTATCCTTATTCATTCTTCCGTGTAGGATGAAGCAAATAAAGGAAACAAAAGCACTTAAACATCCAAAAGAAAATGCCTATAGCTGAGAATGATTAAAGCTCGGTATCGTTCCATTAAAGGATGAGAACGTTTTGACCAACTGTAGTTCTTTGACGTTCAACGGAGATCTGAGGTCGCTTTATTGGTTTGTCAGTAATTCTAACCTGGATTATTTGGGGTTCATCTCACTAACTAAAAAATTAAAATTTAAACATATTGAATAAGACTGACAGTGTGCCGTTAACAGTGAATAAGATAGATAGTTTAATAGGAATGACTAAGTCACAGCCAAAGGCTGAACTAAATAATTATTTACAATATAAATATCGTACATTTAAAACTGGGGCTATTTAAAAAGGGTCTCTATATAACTAAAGTGCTCTGTACAAATTACCGCCTACGAGCACTGCAGTCAGAGGAGGCCCAAATTTACTGACAAGACAAGCAAGAAGCTGCATAGTTTTACGGCCGTGGATCTTTTAGGAACTGTTCTGATGTGCAGTGGAAGGCAAGTGGGCCAGTACTAGATGTGAACGATATGTGCTTTGTTAAGAATGAAATTGAAAAATCGAAATTACCCAAGGCTTTTATCAGGGGTACAACTGGAAATGATTTTTACAGGCACCAAATTTGCTGTAATCACGAAACGTGCAACATCATGACGAACGCGCAAATAAAAAATTTACGAGCGCACTTTGCTTCATGCCATTTATTTAATAAGCTTGCGTGGTAGGCGGCATGTCAGCTTTCTATTGTTTCAGAAAGCTAATTGATATAAGCTTTCGCTGTAGACATCATTTGTATCATAAATGTCATGCAAAAAATTGATGACGGCGGCTTAATCCTTCTAAATGAAAAACGTGTACTGGGGATATCACATTGAAAAAAACGAAGATAATCTCATTTTTACCTTGCAAAAGTAGTGGGGTCGTTCGCTTACTGCTTTTGAAGTGGATAAATAATGAACTGAAGCTCGAAGAAAGTGGGACACAACCTCCTTAACAAGAAAAGCTGAATTGCTTCAAAGACAATCTTTCTCTCGTTTGGATGGACTATAACTCAAGATACCTACTTTTCAATCGTAATTTTTTCAATTTGTTTTGACCAAATTTAACAAGTTTTTAGAGCTATTATACAGGTCAAATACAGCATCAGTAACCTTGAAGCTTGGTTCTATGAGCTTGAAGCTAGAAACTCAAGCTTACCATCTTCCTGAAACGCACGACTTTCTTGAATCATTACAACCATATTGAAATTGAAATCAAAGAAAACAACTCACTCATTTATTCACTTTATCTCTCACTCGCTCGCTCGCTCACCCACTCGACCATCCATTCAGAAACCAAAAGGCTACCATGGTTTTCATCAACCTCATCCCTGCGCTCTTTTGCAATTTTAACACCACAAGAATCACGTCCATACATGTCCCTGATGGTATCGACTGTAGATTAGCCTCTTTAAGAACGAATTCATGTTTTCCGTATAACCTGGCTTTACTTCCTAGTGTCAACGCAAAGCTGCTCTGTGAGCTGCTCTCATACCACAAATATGACAACTTTGGACAAATTGATCTACAGTCCGATTCATAATCACTTCAGTGTTCCAGTAAGATCAAATGTATTTGTGCTAGCTGTATTTGACAAAGATTTGGGAATACTGAGATCAAAGATGGAAAGAGATGTTTTCCGCGTATTATATCTTATTTGAATTCAAACTTGAGCAAATAAATAATTATATAGTTCCGTGCTAATTTCACCCGCCCAGCTTCCCTAATTTTGCGTTCGGTGTAATTCAGTTCTTTTATCAATTTTGCCCAACTTTAGTTTCCACCAGTCACAGACAAATGATAGACTTGTTCAATAAATAATGAGTCCATGATGTTGTTTCATGCTTCTGATATATCGCTCTATGCTAATTCATGAAACTGACACTTAGTTTCCTCTTAACAGAACCCTCGCTCCAGCAATCCTTGTCAGAACGGTTCGACTTGTGTGGCCAAGCGCGTCGATGACGATTATAAGTGCACATGCCCACCAGGATTTAAAGGAAAGAACTGCAGTAAAGCTGTAGGTATCTAAATGTTACCACGCTCTCAACGTATAACCTTCGCTAACAATCTCGAGTTTTTAGAGCGTTTTGACGGAGAGCAAACATTCAAACAGTCAGCTTTAGAAATTCTAAATGCATAAGCAAAGCGCGCGCATCAAGTGCAAAAACAATTTGTTCAAACCGTGCGTTCGGTCAAAACAACCGCGTACGATCAAATAAATAATATGCAATGATATCTTCACATCTTTAAGGCGCAAAAAAATTCAAAGTCCGGCTAAACAGTTCAAGGAATTGTTCAGTCTGTGTCTTAATCACTTTCTATGAAATGGAATCGTCGTTCCGAGGTTTGATCATGTTTGTTTTTAATTTCGGCGTTGGATCGCTCGAGCAAAGTGTTAAGCTGGCTCGGTTCGTAATTTTCGATTTCCTTGGCGATTCCCTTCTCTAAACACCACTTTTTCCAAACCGACAACCAAAAAACAGTGCTTTTTACAGTATTTTTGTTGTTTGAGCCGTTTTTCGGCCGCGGTGGCGAAAGAAAACCTACCTAAAACGCCGGCCATTGTTTCGCTCGCAAGTTTTCAAATTTTGTTGCGACATCCAAGGCTCGCATTTGATTGGCCGTCTGTGAGTTTCTTTGATTATTGACCAATCAGAATGTCTGATTTGTTACTTTCTTTTCATTGAATTAACCCTCTTCTGCACTGAATTACCTAAAAACTGCATTTATCTCAACCAATCATGGCTGAGTAATCTTTTCATGTATATTATTATGTCTGAAATCATTCTTGTGATTTCAAATCGAGCTTACAATTTTGGACCAAATTGCACTTCAGTCAGATCGATAACCATTACTTACATATTTAGAGGTGGTGGCGTATCGACACATCTATACAAACACATGAAGTCCACAGTTATTCTGACTGCAATTTAACACTCGTTTAATCGTTCATACTTTACATCGAGATATTACATGCTAATCGCCGCTACATTTTTGGAGTTGAGGGTTAACGTTATAAAATTTGACGACGGCCGTTCTTCTATTCTTCAAAAGTAAGTAACATCAAAAAGAAAAGCAGAGCAGCGACTAGTCTCTAAATACAATTAATAGGACCTGTGACGATGAATAACTTGGTCTGACTCAAGTGTTCATTGCGTTTACAATGGTGTCAGGAGTGCCGTGCGGATTGAAGGGAGAGAGAGAGAAGAAATAAGAGGTACTTTCTAGTACCAACGTGCAACTATTTACGAATTGCACGCCCAGAAAATATTTGAAATAAATGCATATTAGGTCTGCCTTAGTGTTTACCACGGGACCAGGAAAGGAGAAAACTTATCGTAGGCCGATACTGATGCGCCTTTTATCATGGACATCATGACCTTTTTCACCAAATGCCACACCACCCTTCTGGCCATGTGAATAAGTGTACGCAGTGCGGAAGAATGACGCACTAGCATCGGAGCACCAATCGGTGCATTTCTTGAAACAACCTCCTGTGTGGGCAGAAATCAGGAAGCCCCTGAAGAACGGATCATCACAAATCAGAAGCTGGTAGGAATAAGCCGGGTCAGCCCCCACCCCATCCCACAATCCATAGGTGTCTGCAGATTTTCCGTAATTGAGGGAGGCCTTAATAGCTTGATTGTTTCGGGACTTGAAGTAAATCTTCTTTCCAGTTTGGTGATCCTCAAAGATGATTTCTGTGAACTGAAATAATCGTAATGAAATAATAAACTCAATAATTCTGGTGGAAAGTAGAGTGAAGAGAATCAATACAGAATGGAGGAGTCAGTCTGTCTAAAACGTAATTTAAAAGAGATAGAGGAACTTAACAATAAACTTGAAAAACATTGACATCAACGAAAAAACAGTTAGTTGTTATATACAGCTTTTTTGTAGAGTCCTAGAAGCGAGGTGTTCTCATTAAGTTGTTCACATACAGCTGTTTCGAGAAATTTTGCTGGAAAAAGAGGCAAAAGAGCACGCAATAATGTTAAAGGATAATCTGAGTATCCGGTACTCCTTTTATTTTAATAAGCGTGATAAAACAGTCAATCAATCAAACCCACTGTGCCTCGTTCTTAGAGTGACTTTTTTTCAGATTTCCTGAAATCCTGAGGTCAACTACTAACAAGATCTTTCGGGGTTATAACGTGCACTTTTACACTTTTTTCCGACAACCTTTCACGAACCTGCTATATTCAATTGCATTTGACCAAGGACGATAATGGAGTAATGTGTTTTACATTAAAATCTCGCACAACGGAATATCGATGGTATGATGATTAATATCAGCTAACAAAGTTACTAGGATGTTGTTGCAATCGGTTCTGTAGCCGTCACTTCCATAAGTGTACTCGATTCGAACTCTGTTTGGACTTCACTTCGTGCAGTTATAACACTGCACTAATTCAAAGGATTCGGAAAAGTAACCACGGGTGATTGGGAACTTACTTGGATATTGTTACAGTTACTTCTGTAGCCCACAGTTCCATAAGGAAAAGAGGCGCTGTATGTGACCTCAGTCGTAGGTCTGATATATTCATCGGTAGTGTAACACATGGTCCATCCTCCATTGTGTGACGTCATGTCGCAGTAGGCCAGGAATGCATTGGAATGGCTTCCTCCATCCGGGTCTAACCAGTACATGCCATCTCCTTGTGAGAGACTTCGCTCCTTGATGTCCAAGCAATTCTTTCCAACAAAGGGGCCTGATTATTAATTGAATCGAAGTAATTATTAATCTTTATGTAAGGAAAGAGAAATTTCACTTTCTGATTTTCATGCCAGAACGTATATTTTACACCGATGAGGTGAGGAAATGGGTCACTGTACGTTAATGCGCTTTTAACCGCAAGCTTAGCAACGGCGAGTGAACATTCAATGCCCCTTCGTCAGAGTGAAATATTGAAATACAAGATGCATGTATTGTGGCACTTTGATGAAGAAGAATCAGCAACATCTACTAAGGCATATAGGAAAAAGGCCTATGAAGGCTACAACCAGAGAGTCCAAACTTTTTTCGGGCCTCTTATCTCTGTTTCCCACATCTATATCAGCTTGTTCTGAAATTGGAACCCTTTGTAGGCCATTAGAGGGTAATAACACGGGGTTGAACTATGTTCAACTGTGAACGAAAGAGATGGAAATGAAGGGAATTGTAACGAATAAGAAAGAAAGGGACAGAAAAAGCGTGAATTTCTTATTACGATACCTGTTTTGCAGTCTTTTCCGTTGTAAAATCGAGGACACCAACTGCAGTAATAATCGCCATCTTTGAATTTGGCAACACATTTTCCTTTGTTTATGCAAGGATCGTTGATGCAGGGACTCTGTTTCCACAAAACAGGAGAAAGTTAACTTTATCATCCCAGATAAAACTGCGTTTTGACAATAATCAAAACATTACTTATTTTCAAGACCTTTTGGGCTCATTACCACAAGAATAAGAACATTCAGAGGCGACGTAGTGAACTTAACATACGTGCCAAGTTAACCAAGGAATTATTCTTACATACGTGTAAGAGTTGGGTCTCCACATGCAACGTGCTCTCGCCCCCTCCAACTATCGAACGCGTTGCTTGACGAGGACCAAACAACAGCTGTGATCAAGGAGACCAGGCACAAGCAGTTGTAGATAGTCTCCTTGATCGCAGCCGTTGTTTGGTCCCTAAATACAAGTTGGATTTATTATAGTCTGCAAACTTCACAAATATATCGGCCATGTTCACGTCGTATACTCCTTAATCTACAATGATCAGAACTGTTTCACATACCCATCTTTTATGAAGCTTAGCCAGAAAATCATAACGTATAAAATCGATAATGTGACTGCCGATCACGCGAAATAATGTCTTTTCAAAATAATTTTCTTACTCTAATCTCTGAATTTGATAAAACTCTTGAAAAGGTTTATCTTCATTTACGATAATTGTGATGTTACTAGAGTGTTTTTCGATTCAAACTACACTCACCGTTTTACTGAAATGATCAAACATCGGATTGTGAATCAATTCATTGGGCATCCTGTGCTTGTCAGAAGGTAGAAGTTCACACAACAGTTTTCCGTTGATATCAGGAAATGTAGCCAGGTTAAAAGAAGAACATGAAGTGACTTGTAAACAAGCCAATCCACACTCGGTGTCCTTTTGGACAAGTTTTGAATCGATTCTTGTGATGTTTAAGTAGGAAAATTGTTCGTGCTTGAAGTTCGCATATGATACACCCGGCTCATCAAAATCTTGCCGAACACCTTTTAACAGAAGGAATTACATTCATGTTAGTTTCATCAAAGCTGTGGAAAAATCTCCTAAAATGATTTCCTGTCTGAATCTAAAATCTATCTTAAAGGAGTGCGCTTTCTGAAACACTTTTAGACAGGATAGTGGCTGAGTGTAATCTTACGTAAGAGACAGGATATACCATAGCAGCGAGGTTAAAATGCATGAGAACCCTTAATTTTTATTGATCAAAGTCTCGGTAAAATTGCACAATATTGAGTTGGCCCGAGTTATTCCAACCCGCCGTTAAATCAGAAATAGTTTAATAGAAGTCAACTGCTGTGTTTTTACTAGGACGTTTCAGGTTGCTTCGTTTAAGTACCTTTTCCTTCCGAAGTGCGACAAGTATTTTTAAAAATAGCGACAGCTTATTTCTATTATCACAAAGAGCGATGGTCTGTTATTACAATATTATTATTCAAAATTATGCTTAAAGATACTTGATGGAAAAAATTTAACAGGGCTGTTCAAAACAAAAGCCAAATTTATGTTGAATGGAAATATCAGAGAGAATGCCCCGTTATCATTTCCATGAGTTACATCCTTTACGACAAAGTATGTTTAATAGAGGACATCTAAATAACGATTAAAATTTTGGCCATTTTACAGCTGTTTAATTCCTTTCTATTGCGATTGAAAAACAAATTGACGGTTAACTTTTACACGACTAGAGGTTAAAATTTGTTAATTCTTACACTTAACAACTAAATTTAACCACATTAAAACTCTCCTAAAAAACATTTGGAGGCAGGTCTACTTTATGAGTATAGTTCAATTGAGTAGTGACCGATTTGTGAGCAATGATTTAAAGCTTCAGGCTGTTATACCTGAGTGTTAACCAAGATGTTACCATAGCGATGATGATCGAGTCAGACTTTCTGTGAAGGATTTTGAGTTATGTCGAGCCTTTCCGGTGCATTTAGTTATAAAAAAAAAAAGAAATTCTGTTTCAGTGCTCATAACAAACTGAACCCGTTTTTCGTTATTTTGATCTCCATCGTTTGACTCCCAAATGTCCAGTTCACATGGATCGTCCGTTTTCTTTGACGTTGCAACAATAAAAACACTCGACATCGTGTGAAACCACTTCTGAAAAAAGGGGGAAAAAGCGAAAAAAGAGGAGAAGAGGAGTTTCGTTAAGAGTCAGTTTTGCCGAGAAAAAAAAATAGGAAAATAAAGAAAGAAAACAAGAAGCAGCGAAAAAAAGCGCGGCTCGTGAAATTTGACTTTCGTGTGCATGGTGCGTGTCAAATATGGGTCTCAATTTCCAAAAAACTTTCATTTAAAAAAAAACAAATGTATTTATGGTTTTCTTTTAGGACTGAAGAGTCAAGCTGAATAATCAAAGTGAGTGTTAAAAATGCCCTTTTTAAAGGTCGCAGCACTCTTGTTGCCAGTGTAACAACGGCTGCTTGTTCGAGGCCTGGGGCCTCATTTTCATACAAAGGCGACGCAAAAAAGAGTGAAATATTGTTTTCTCTATCTCAAGCTAAATACAGCATTACAAATTGGCACCTCTACCATATATAGCAACATTATTTTTCTTTACATTGATTTATTCAATTTTCCTTGGGAGTGAATGTGAACACACCAATAGATTATTCATCTCGGTACAGTTTCGGTCATTTTTGTTGTCGGGTAAAACAGGGAAAACGAAATAAACTCAAACACGCAATCCGAAATCCTCTGAAGATACACTTTTATACTTGTATGTTATTTAAAACATGTTGAAGTCGGCTGATCTACACGAAACTATCGTCACACCGGTCATTTGTCATAAACATGTAGGTTGTCACGATGGCGCTCTGACGCTGTATTTCTCCATGAAGTTTCCATCGGTCGCCCCCAAAGAAGACGATAAATGGACATTTTTCGATATATCAGCAGATTTCCGCGCATTCTAAATAAAAACAACCAAAAAAAACAGAAAATTGAACGATTGAACGCTCGTAAACACTGAGAATTTGAGCAGAAAAATCGCAACTTGTCAGCGGCAGTACTACATGTAAAACACAGTCGCCGTAATAGCAATTTGTACAACTCGCGCGAAAATCGTCACCAAGTGGGGATTTTGAACTACTCAGTATCCCTACAGTACAGCAAACGCAACAGGGATTTCATAACAATCAATTTCCAAAACTTAAGCTTTTTTCAGAAAGTCTTTCACGATCTCGAACGTTATATTAGCTTTGAGCCTTGAGATTTATTTCCCTTGACAATAAAATGCTATAGAAAGTGCTTACAAAATTACAAAGGAACTATTTTTGGTGTCACTTGGACCGCGAAATACAGATTTGAAATAATTAATGCTGTCACTGATGAACCAAAGGGCACAATCTTCTCAGTTATTAGCTTGATAATCTCTACAGACCTACGTTATTGGACCGAACGATCTCCTTTTTCTCCCTGGTGAGCCGGCCACCTCAGGGGAAAATTGGTGAGGCCTTTGAATTCCTCTCGTGTAGCTCATTGGGAGATTGCGTTATATTCATCTTTATTTAAGCTTTTAAAAGATATCCGGGAGAAAAGTATGGAAAATAATGGTGATGAAATCGCTGTTCTTTTTCCCGAAGGACGTGGAGCAATCCAGATTACATATTAACCGTGGGGAATTTTGTTCAAGTGACAAGTTGCGATTTACGTGTGGATAATAAGTTGTTTGAAAGGTGAAATTATGACATTATGATTTCATTAAGTCTCTTATTTCGAACTTTGTTATTATTTTTTCTTTATCAATACATGGAAGGAAACATTGTTGACTCAATTGCATTGCGGCGGTGATAAGTCTCTCCTCATCATATCTTATGCAAATTTTCTAACAGTTTTCTGAAAGTTTTCAGACGATTCGAAATATCTTAGTTCCTGTCACTAGGAAATGATAACTGCCCGAGTCTGCTCTTTGTAAGGAGATGCCTATGTCGTTCAAATTGCTATTGCAACTGGGTTTTACATGTAGTACTGCCGCTAACAAGTTACGGTTTATACTCTCAGATTCTCAGTGTTTACGAGCGTTCAATCGAAGTTTTCCTCTTTTTTGGTTGTTTTTACTTCAGAAAGCGGAAATCTGCTGATATATATGGAAAATATCTATTTCTAGTCTTCTTTAGAGCGTCCGATGGAGACTTCACGGAGAAATACAGCATCGTGATAACGTACATGTTTATGACAAATGACCAGTGTGAGGATAGTTTCGTGTAGATCAGCCGACTTCACAATGATGTTTCAAATGACATACAAGTATAACAGTGTATCTTCAGAGGATTTCGGAATGCTCAATTTCCCATGAAAGAAGGTGCAGCACTCGGAATCTGGATGATATGCACACGATTTGAAGTAAATGTTTGTAGTTACGTCGAGTTGTCCTCCATGAAGGTTGATCAATTTTTTTTAAAAGATGACAACCAGAGGCGAGATTTCTCTTCGGGATATTGCTCGTAAGATAACATTCTTTCAAAGCCTCGCATGTTTCATTTGTCTGAAACGTTTGTTGTTGAGAATATTAGATGTAAACATCGCCAAATTATGCAATATCTGATTTTGAGCTTCGTTCGCGAATTGCTCCTATAAAAAGTAGAGGCAGGCCCCCAGAAATTTTTACATATTTAAGAACTATAATATTATAACCAGCTAGTTGGGTAGTTTCAGTTCCACAATCGGTGTACTTTTGGAGAAATTCAGATAAACGTTTTCCCTGTTTTACTCGACAACAAAAATGACCGAAACTGTACCAAGATGAATAAACTATTGGTGTGTTCGCATTCACTCCCAAGGAAAATTAAACGTATCAAAGTGAAGAAAAATAATGTTGCTATATATGGTAGAAGTGCCAATTTGTAATGATGTATTTGGCTTGAGACAGAGAAATAAACATTTCACTCTTTTTTTGCGACGTTTTTGTATGAAAATGAGGCCCCAGGCCCCGAACAAGCAGCCGTTGTTACACTGGCAACAAGAGTGCTGCGACCTTTAAAAAGGGCATTTTTGTGCATCCCCCCTGAGTGCCTAACTGCATGCAAAATTTGAAGGGGGGTTGAAAATTTTGATATCCCAAGATGTTTGATTCTTACAGAGACTTGTTCTTAATAATTCATTAGGTAGGGCCCCAGGTGCTTGATTTTGAAACTTTCACTTCAGTTGCGAAAATAACTCATAAAATAAAGTTTGTCTGTCAACAGTTTAGTTATGAAGTTCCGTGCCACAACATCGCTGAATTCGCGACTACAAGAAATGGATCTGATTGTAATAATGACCTTAATATATATCTTGATAATTTGTGAAGGTGTGGCTCCTTACATGAGCTATTTTTGTCCTTTGAACGAAGTTATGTTTGATTCGAGGATGAATATGTTATGTTATCGAATTTTGTGGTTTCAATGTTTGGTCCGTAAGATGTTTGATTCTTACAGAGACTTGTTCTTAAACTGTTTCCTTTTAAGCCAAGGCCTTGGACAAACCTAACAATGATTAGAATTCAGTAACTAAAATAAGTTTTCCCATGAAAGCTGTAGGCAATAAAATGATGCAAATACGCATAATACAAAGACTATCAAAGAAACTTGTGTAGTTGCGCCAGAAAATTGATATTCCCCAATAAACTTCTTATTCTTACCAAACCGATCGAAGATTAACATGACAAAATTTAGAGTATTTGTGCGTCAATATTTGAACATCCGAGTGATTCTCTAAATTCGTGACCTGTTACAGCCTCGCCGATTGTTAAAAGTTCTAGTTTTGGTAATGAATAGTTTATCATACCCAAGGGATTCTAGTTGTGGCTCCTGATAAAAGCGAAGTTTATAAGAAGAATTAAGAGAAGCTGAGTCTATAACTGAGTTCAGAAGTAGAAGACAGTAAAAAAAACTAAACATAAACAACTCTCGTGGGTTTATTATGCTACAAACACAGGTGTCTTTCCCGGCTCTCGAAATAAACAGTTCATTCTTGATTCTTAGTAAAGCGAAATCTCTTTGCTGTATGAAAAATCCTTTTTGACCGAGCATGGCTTGACATTTGACTCGTTCTCTTCCGTTATTTATGGTTCCGTTATTTATGGTTCGTAAGTTCGTAACTTATTACAGCCTCACCGTTTGTTAAAAGCTCTAATTTTGGTTATGAATTATTTATCATACCCCCAAGGGATTCTAGTTGTGGCCTCTGACAAAAGTGAAGTGTGTAAGAAGAACTAAGAGAAGCTGAGTCTATAATTGAGTTCAGAGGTAGAAGACAGTAAAAAAAACGAAGCATAAACAACTCTCGTGGGTTTACTGTGCTACAAACACAGGTGTCTTTGTCAAATCTCTTTGTTGTGTGATAAATCCTTTTTGACCGAGCATGGCTTGACATTAGACTCGTTCTCTTCCGTTATTTATGGAACTCAATGTCGTCTTGGTCAATAAAAACGCAAAAAAAAACTCGGTCAAAACCCAGTTATCTTGACCTTAGGTTTGGTCAATAACGCATATGTGATAATCAGGTAACCAGTCATTTCGGGGTGTTCATGGGGCAGCGAGGCGACTTCGCACCGACGCGAATTTACCCCTGCTATATTGCAGCATGGGGATTATAATTTAATTCTGTTTTAAAATTTCGTTAACGGTTCGTGTAAACGAAAAACCCGTCAAAAATCGAGCATTAAACGGTTTCTTTGGTATAGGGAGTCTCCAAGTAAATATTGGCCCAAGTAATTCTTAAAAGTCCGCTGGTTTTTAATGTACATCTCGATTGTTCGAAGCTTTGAGAGGAAAACTATGGACAAGTTGTGAATTAATGGGGAAGTTACCTTCTCGTAATCTAAATCATCATCCACGTCGTCGTCGTCATTATCATCAAGAGAAATTAAGAATTCATCGATAAAACATTGAAAAGAACGTACCTTGTGTCTTGACCAGGGTAAACAAGATAAAGGTCATCATCGTAAAAAGACAGCTTCTATGTTGTGAGAGGCTGTGTGTCATTTTCCGAGCTTCAGCAGATTATTCATCAGCAGGACTATCGAAGAGCAGTAATCAATACAGGAACTTAATAATCGCTTCTGGAAGTTAATGACCCAGGGCTTGTTTTTGTTTTTTTTTTTAAAGCAATGCATTTCTATTGGCCAAGGCAAAGTAAATGTTATACTTGTAATGATAAATTATGAAAAGCGAATAGCAAAGAGATAACACCTGCAAAACGAGAGCTTACCTATATTATTATTTTCATTAACTGATAATAGTAATTGACAGTTTCATTCATACAGCTCTAAGCTCTCCCCTTGAGTCTGAGTCTGGAAAGATGAAATAATGTCCTGCAGCTAATCAGTAACTCTCTGACGTATAATGGATAGCTGTGGTCGCTTGTCTTTTGTAATTCTGAGATTTATTTTTGCAGAGCACTTGAAGCTTTCCAAACATTATTAACAGTTTTGTCTATGAAATCTTTTCAAATAGACTAAAGTGGACAAACAGGCAAACATTTGATTTGAATAATGTCCTAAGAAGTTCCTCAATGTAATTATGGTTTAAGAATAAATGAATTTATAGAAAGCTCCGCAATCTTAATTTTAAGTTTAAAATTAGTGACAACTAAATGCGTCCAATGGGGGACAACTATAGAGGACCATTGCGATTGCCAAATGTTTTGCTATACAAGCTTAAAAATTCATGTCGAAGGCACAAACCATTAAAAAAAAACCCGCTTTGATGAATTGCATTCTAGCTTTCGAGAGAAGGCGTCAAACCAGCTTTCTCAGTTTGAAAAGCTGAGAAAGAGCCAAGCAAATATTGGCTTACGCTTTCGCTCTAAACATAAGCGTCATAGATGCATGTAACATAAACACATCGGTTCATTTTGGCTAAATTACACGGGATGAAATACACACGTAAGAGGATATCACCCTCATCTCATTTCAGTTTGCAAAAAATTCAACGGTTACTTTAAAAGATCTTGAAAGCGTAACATTATATTTGTTTAGTTGGATAGTCTTGTGTTTCAGGGAGTGAGTAAACAAATGATATCATCAAAGGCAACTGATGTTCCTTCATTTACAATTTTCAAGTAAATGTTATCACTAGCAGTTTAACTTAAAAAAAAGTTAGATGCTTCTTAGCCCCCTCATCGATGCGATTTCATCACAAATCGCACCATATTATGTTCTTAATCACATCTTTTTCTCAGCCAATGAGACAGCTTTACTAAAACACAGCAACCAAACAAATTTCAAGGCTTGTTTGAAGAAATCAATGAGAAACAAATTTTGCAACTTTTTACAAACAAGCTCATTACACTAGATCAATAAAATACCTGTACAGCCGAAAAAATGCTTGTATTGAGCAACTGAATTTTGCGATTCAAAAAAGATGTGATAAAGTGGTAATTGAACTTCGTTTATTGCAACTTTGGACTGAAATCGTAGTGATTCTTGTGATTTGAAATCAAACATGCGCTGCACGCTCGTTTGATTTGAAATCAAGCGTATGATTTCAGACCAAATTGCACTTCACTCAGTTCAATAACCATTACTTCTATATTAAGAGGTTGTGGCGGCGTATTGATACATCTATACAAACACATGAAGTCCATAGTTATTCTAACTTAACACTTGTTTAAGTGTTCAAACTCTCGTGTTACATCGAGATATTACAAGCTGATCACCGCTACATTTTGGAGTTGAGGGTTAATGTTATAAAATGTGACGACGGCTGTTCCTCTATACTTCAAAAGTAAGCAATCTCCAAAAGAAAAGCAGCGACGAATCTCTTAACACGATTATTATGACCAATGACGATGAATAACTTGTTGTCGAGGAGAGAAGAAATAAGAGGATATTACTAGTACCGACAAGCAAACTTTTACTGATTGAACGCTCAGAAAACATTTGAAATAAATGCATGCTATATCTAGGTCTGCCTTGATGTTTACCATGGAACCAAGAAAGGAGAAAACCTATCGTAGGCCTATACTTATGTGCCTTTTATCATGGACTTCCTGACCTTTTTCACCAATTGCTACGCCACCCTTCTGGCCATGTGAATTAGTGAACGCAGTGCGGATGAATGACGCACTAACATCGGAACAAAAATAGGTGCATGTCATAAAACAACCCCCTGTGTGGGCAGAAATCAGGAAGCCTGTCATTTTGGATCTCCGCTTGGGTAGATTTTAGTCACGTGCTAGGCAACGTACTGAATCAATAACAAGATAGAATTTCATTTTCATTTCGTTAGTCGCCGGCATCTTCTGTTGTTTCACACAGGAAAAACACACGATACGAAGCGTAAAGATCGATTTTGTCCTCAATCTCACGCCGTGGCAGAAAAAGCTTTTGAACATCTGTAAACTCCGAGCGCTTCGCAGTAAAGGATATTTTCAATGAATCTTCGGATTGTTTTCAAGTTCAAGGATTGTAAATTACAATTTTATGAAAAACGAAAGTTGTTCTGTTATTTCAGTGTGAATCCTTGCATGCCTGCCAGTCGCTGGCGCCGCTTGTTGAAACTAAAACGAAAAAAAAAAAATCTTTTAAGATTATCATTGGCTTCTTTGTCACCCCACCACTATTCTTAGCAACAAAGGTCGCCATTTCGTTTGTTTATTGCTCGCCAAAAACTATCAAATGCACTCAAAAGCCTAAAATCGAAAAAAAGTTTACAGGAATCGACCAATCGAGCGAGCGAGCGAACGAGCGAACGAGCGAGTGCCATTCCCCACATCGTATCTACAACTCGCTCTTGCGCATGCGCGCAATTCACGAGTTAAAAAGTGAAAGATAAAAAATTAAAGAACGTGCGATTGCGCCAGAACTTCTTAGTGGTTAACTGATTTTATTTTCAATGTCACCAACAACCATTAACACATCTTTTGTTGACATTGTTCTAAGGCGAGTTCGAAATGCATCTCTGATTGTATTTTTTTAAGCCACATAACAGTCACCGTCCTTAATTCGTAAACAAAAACAACTTTTCTCACCCTGGGAAGCCAATTATATATTGACTTGAATATCTGCACCTGACAACGACACTGACCGCGGGAGCCAATAAGAGAATGACTTAAGACAAGAATTGAATAACCTCTCGTTACGCAGGTTGGCAATTTCGACTTCGTCCTTCAAATGGAACTGCGTGATTATCAGTTGAATTGAACGAAATATCCATGATACAAATGGATGTTTACGAACTCGTTTTCGATTTACTGCAGGCACAGAAAAAATCAAGACTGTTCATAGAAGATTGCGATGTTGCTTTAAAAAAAAACTGTAAACAAACGAATTACAACTTTGTTTTTTTGTAACCTGTCATCTCAGTTTTCCCCTTTAGACAGAGGCTTGATGCCAACACAAAATATCAACTGTTTACTTCGATTTCACTGTTTATTGCTTTGCTAAGCCAATGAATGTACGTAAACGTAGAATTAAAAATACATAATCCTTCTACTTTCTTTCTGAACAAATCTTGTTGTTCGTAATCATTCCGCCTGCTTACCTATTTTTCCAATGGATTATATATTGACAACTACCTACAAAATGTTGCATTTATAAAATTACAACAATACCGAAATCACTCTTTACATTATACTTGTGAAATATTCTCTCAAGAGAGTCTGGTGTCATATTAAGATGAAGCCCTCTGTCTTTTCTTGTTACCTTGGTTGGTTAATGACAGAGGGATGTTACACGTAGATTGCCTCCACAACTACTACTACGAATACTTCCTTAATTTAATAGTGACACAGACTCTTCTAAATCAGCATGAAAATTACTTCGACTACTACTATACTTCTTCCTCTACTGTATTGTGACACAGATTCTACGAAATCAGCATGTAAATTGCTTCAACTACTACTACTACATCTTCCTTTACTGTATTGTCTCACAGATTCCACCACATTTATACAATCTGCGCATAGGTGTAGGATGGGCAAATCTTGGCGTGTGTTAGTAATATATACATCCTGAGTTACATTAAGCTAAAAGATACAATTACCATGCAGTTACAAGTTTTTAAAGTTAAAGCTGTCTTTTATTGTAAGCCAACTCTGGTGCGCCTTTTATCATGGACATCATGACCTTTTATTCGCAAATTTATGCATCCTAAACGTGGGATCACCTAAAGTTTGGCTGACATTACGAGCCCAACCAACGTGGAGAAGCCATTTCTGAACACCCTTTAATTCATATAGTGGATAAATATTATGCTACATGCCTCACTCTCTGAACATTTCGCAGACCAACATATTCATATATTGACAAAATACGTAGAATCCAGCGTTACTCTGAAGGATTGGTTCACCACGTTATAGAAATTAGATTATAGTGGCAAGGACATCAAAAGCACACCTACCTCAGATGTACTCGGCATACGCCCCTGAAAACCACTTAGAGTGATGGAGATCTCCTCTTAAAAAATATGTATCTTATTATTATTGTTATCATTATTATCATTATTATTACTTGATGGGGCGGGGCTATTTAGAGATACGACTAGGCCTATCTTGATTGTACGCGTAAAATTCTGGAAAGTTGCTCGTTGAAATACCAAATTCCTGTTGCTGACAAATTGCAAATTCATAAAAAAAGTTGCTACCTAAATTTCTTGTTATTTTATTCAAACGTTAATCCAAATCTTTATTTTCATTCTTCACAATAATTGCAAACATTCGTCAAGAAAAAGAGCTTAAAACGTAACTGTAGTAAATTGCTCGCAAATATGGGTGAAATTTAAGGATACTCTTATGCCTAAAGGAACAACATACATGTTTCATTTGACGTCTTACCATTTTAAAATATCAGATAAGAATCTGATATTAGATAAGAAGAAGAATTTGCATACATTAAAGTTTTCTATGAAAACTGTTGACTTTTTTTTTTGTGCTTGAAATGTGCCCTAAAGCCATATTTTGCACAAAAAATGCGCAATAAGCCACAAATTGTTCGAGGTTGTTTGGACCACAAAAAGTCGCTCAGACGTTGTCGTGCACAATCAGGACAAGCCTAGATACGATTTATATGTTATGCTCATGTTTAAATATGACATACATAAGAAGGAAATTATGCAGCTCAATCCGTAAATGTCTTAGCGCAGACCGACACTGATGAGCCTTTTATCGAGTGCTCGGGCGCCATTGGTGTTAAAGGACACACCAGAGTAACTCGAACTGGTAGTTGCAGTACGGAAGTATGGGGAGACAAAATCGCCACACCAGCTAACACACTGCTTATAACAATTTGTGTAACCAGAAACGAAGAAGCCACTGTAGAATGAGGTATCACAAATCAGTAGCTGATAGTCGTAGGCGTCGCTCACTCCCACACCGTCCCACAATCCATAAGTAGAAGCATTGTTCCCATAATTCAAATTGGCCGTTATGGACTGGTTGGTTCTTCGCTTGAAATACACTTTAGCCAAAGTTTGATGATCCAAGAACATAATCTCTGTAAACTGGAAAAAGAGACAATGCCTCGTATTATATGGTGTGAAATTCCGACCTTTTTACAGCCTTAGTCCAGGTTTTAAGTGCTTTAGTATTTTCTTTAGTTAAGAAGATACAGCAGCAGCCATTTTCAGTTCAGTGAACGAATAGATACCAGTATATGAAATGCATTATGAGGAGAGAATTGTTTAAAAAATTTTCTTGAATTTAACACAAAAATACTAACAAATCATTATGTATATGGACACACCTATTTGTGCGTCATGCAATAAACAAAAAAATGAAATAATATTTCGAGATCCATACGCATACATACTAGGCGATCCATATTCATAGAGATAAGGGATTATTCAATCAGCTTACAGAGATGTTGTTGCAGTTGGTCCTGTAGCCGACAGTTCCATAAGGAATAGAGGCGTTGTATGTGACCTCGGTCCTCGGTTTGACATATTCATCGGTAGTGTAACACATGGTCCATCCTCCATTGTGTGACGTCATGTCGCAGTAGGCCAGGAATGCATTGGAATGGCTTGCTCCATCCGGGTCTAACCAGTACATGCCATCTCCCTGTGAGAGACCTCGCTCCTTAATGTCCAAGCAATTTTTTCCAACAAAGGGTGCTGATTATTGATTGAATAGAACTAATTATTAATCTTTATGAAAGGAAAGAGAAATTTCAGTTTCTGATTTTCATGCCAGTACATTTTACACCGATGGGGTGAGAAAATGGGTCCCCGTTTGAAAAATACCTTGATGCGCTTTTAACCGCAAGTCGAGCAGCGGCGAGTGAACATTCAATGCCCCTTCGTCAGGGTGAAACATTGAAATACAAGATGCATATATTGTGACACTTATTGTGGATGACGAAGAATCAGCAATGTCTGCTAAGGCATATCGAAAAAAAGGCCCATGAAAGCTACTATCACAGAGTCTAAACTATTTCCTAGTCTGCTATCACTGTTTCCCGTGAAAAGGCGCCAAATATGTGAAGGCATCCAAATCAACTTGCTCTGAAACCAAATTGGAACCCTTTGTAGGTCATTAGAGGGTAATAACACGAGGCTGATTTGTGTTCAAATGAATAAAGGGGGTAAGTTTCTAAAGAAACTGTGGTGCTGCGTCGGTGGGAGAGTACAGCAGGTATCCTATCGCTCTGACGAAGGGCTAAGGCTCGAAACGTCAGCTATTTTACTCTTTTTGTTGGTCAATTTACGTTTTCAACTCAGTTGTTAACACTAAATTACCTGATTTGTGTTCAACTGAGAACGAAAGAGATGGAAATAAAGGGAATTGTAACCAATAAGTAAGAAGGGAACAGAAAAGGCGTGAATTTCTTATTATGATACCTGTTTTGCAGTCTTTTCCGTTGTAAAACCGAGGACACCAACTGCAGTAATAATCGCCATCTTTGAATTTGGCAACACATTTTCCTTTGTTTATGCAAGGATCGTTGATGCAGGGACTCTGTTTCCACAAAACAAGAGAAAGGTAACTTTATCATCCCAGATAAAAATGCCTTTTGACAATAATCAAAACATTACTCATTTTCAAGACCTTTTGGGCCCATTATCACAAGAATAAGAACATTCAGAGGCGGCGTAGTGAACTTAACACACGTGCTAAGTTAACCAAGGAATTCTTCTTACCATAACTTCATTTGCCTCATTGAAGTTGCCAGCTAATATTACAGCTGTCAATTCAGACTTTTCTCCGAACATTATTCCAAAATCAGCCCTGGGCCACAAGTAAGTCTCCTTCGCAGCCGTTGTTGGGTCTCCACATGCAACGCAGTCTCTCCCCCGCCTCTCCAACTACTGGACGCTTTGCTTGACGAGGACCACACAACAACTGTGATCAAGGAGACCAGGCACAAGCAGTTGTGGATAGTCTCCTTGATCGCAGCTGTTGTTTGGTCCCTAAATGAAAGTTTGATTATTAGAGTCTACGAAATTCACAAATATATCGGCCATGTACACGTCGTATACTCCTTAATCTACAATGATCAGAACTGTTTCACATACCCATCTTTTATGAAACCCAGCCAGAAAATTATTATGTATAAAATCGATAGTGTGACTGCCGATCACACAAAATAATGTATTTTCAAAATAATTTTTTTGCTCTAATCCCTGAATTTGCTAAAACACTTGAAAAGGTTTATCTTTATTTATGATAATGCTAATGTTACTAGAGTGTTTTTCGATTCAAACTACACTCACCGTTTTACTAAAATGATGAAACATCGGGTTGTGGATCAATTCATTGGGCATCCTGTGCTTGTCAGAAGGTAGAAGTTCACACAACAGTTTTCCGTTGATATCAGGAAATGTAGCCAGGTTAAAAGAAGAACATGAAGTGACTTGTAAACAGGCCAATCCACACTCGGTGTCCTTTTGGACAAGTTTTGAACCGATTATTGTGATGTTCAGGTAGGAAAATTGTTCGTGCTTGAAGTTCGCATATGATACACCTGGCTCAGCAAAATCTTGCCGAACACCTTTAAACAGAAGGAATTACATTCATATTAGTTTTATCAAGCTATGGCAAAATATTCGAGAATGATTTCCTGTCAGAATCTAAAACTCTATTTTAAAGGAGTGCGCTTTATGAAACACTTTTAGACAGGACAGCGGCTGAGCGTAACCTTACGTAAGAGACGAAAATTTTTTTTTGCAGGATATACCAAAGCAGCGAGGTTAAAAAGCATGAGAACCCTTAACTTATACTGATCAAAGTCTCGGCAACTAAGCACATTAGTGAGTTATTCGGACCCGCCGTTCAATCAGAAACAGTTTAAAAGAAGTCAACTGCTGTGTTTTTACTCGGACGCTTCGGGTTGCTTCGTTTAAATACCTTTTCCCTCCGACTATTTATACCAAGTTATTACAAAGTGCGACAAGTATTTTTAAAAAGAGCCACAGTTTATTTCTATTATCACAAATTGCGATGGTCTGTTATTACAAAGTGCGACAGCATTTTTGTTATTCAATGTGACAAGTGTTATAGAAAGTGCGACAGGTATTGGAAGGTGCGACAATTATATTACAAAGTGTGACAGGTATTTTAAAGTGCGACAGAACCTTCCGCAAAACCGGCGACTGAATTAAAACTGTTTAGCTCAGTCCTACTGTTATTATTCAAAATGATGCTCAAAGATACTTAATGGAAGAAATTTAACAGGGCTGTTCAAAACAAAAGCCAAATTTATGTTGAATGGAAATATCAGAGAGAATGCCCTGTTATCATTTCCAACAGTTACATCCTTTACGACAAAGTATATCTAATAGAGGACAGCTAACTGACGATTAAAATTTTGGCCATTTTACAGCTAACGTTTAGTGTCTTTCTGTTGCGATTGAAACCAAATTGACGGTTAACTTTTATACGACTTAAGGTTAAAATTCGTCAATTCTTACACTTAACAGCTAAATTTAACCACATTAAAACCCTCCTAAAACATTTTTAGACAGGTCTACTTTGTGAGTGTAGTTCAATTGAGCAGTGACCGTTTTGTGAGTAATCATTTAAAGCTACAAGCTGTTATACCTAGGTGTTAACTAAGATCTTAGTCATCACTTGGTATCATATCGATGATGATCGAGTCAGACTTTCCGTGAAGGATTTTGAGCTACATCGAGCCTTTTCGATGCGTTTAGTACTAGAAAAAAAAAGCAACTCTGTTTCAGTTCTCATAACTTACTAAACCCGTTTTTCATTATTTAGATCTCCATCGTTGGACTCCCAAACGTTCAGTTCACATGGATCGTCTGTTTTCTGTGACGTTGCAACAATGAAAACCCTCGACATCGTGTCAAACCACTTCTGAAAAAAGGGGGAAACGCGAAAAAAGAGGAAAGGAGGAGTTTTTGGTAAAAGTCAGTTTTGCCGAGAAAAAAGAATAGGAAAATAAAGGAAGAAAAAAATAAGCAGCAAAATAACCGAGACGGCGCGACTCGTGAAATTTGACTTTTGCGTGTATGGTGCGTGTCAAATATTGGTCTAAATTTCCTAAAAACTTTCATTTAAAAAAAAAAACAAATGTATTTATGGTTTTCTTCTAGGACTGAAGAGTCAAGCTGAATTATGAAAGTGAGTGTTAACTTCTTCAAGATAGTCCTTATCGATGCTTACGGACCAAACATTGAAACTACAAAATCCGATAACATAACATATTCATGTTCGAATCAAACATAATTTCGGTCAAAAGGACATAAATAGTAAATTTCAGAAACCACACCTTCACAAATTATCAAGATATATATTACGGTCATCGTTATAATCAGATCCATTTCTTGTAGTCGCGAATTCAGCGATGTTGTGGCACGGAACTTCATATCTAAACTGTTGACAGACAAACTTATATATATACGTTATTTTCGTAATACTGAAATGAAAGTTTCAAACACAAGCACCTGTGTCCCTATCTAAATGAAATATTCAACTGTTTCCTTATAAGCAAAGCGAATAATGTTTAGAATTCAGGAACTAAAATTAGTTTGTTCATGAAAGCTGTTAGCAATAAAATGATACACGTACGGATAATACAAAGACTATTAAAGAAACTTGTGCGGTTGCGCCAGAAAATTGATAATTCCCAATTGAGAAAAAACGAACCCTTCTTACTCTTACCACACCGATCGAAGATTACTACGACAAAATTTAGAGTATTTGTGCCGTCAATCTTTGAACATCCGAGTGATTCTCTAAATTCGTGACTTATTACAGCCTCGCCGATTGTTAAAAGCTCTAGTTTTCGTAATGAATTGTTTATCATACCCCCAAGGGATTCTAGTTGTGGCGTCTGACAAAAGCGAAGTTTATAAGAAGAATGAAAAGAAGCCGAGTGTTTACCGGCTCTCGAAATAAACAGTTCATTCTTGATTCTTAATAAAGCGAAATCTCTTTGCTGTATGATAAATCCTTTTTGACCAAGCATGGCTTGATATTAGCCTCTTTTTCCGTTTTTCTATGGACCTCAAAGTCGTCTTGGTCAATTGGTCAAGAACGCAAAAAAGAACTCGGCCAAAATTCAGTTATCTTGACTTTAGGTTTGGTCAATAATGCATATGTAATAATCAGGTAACCGATCATCACCATTCTCAATGAGAGTCAGTTTTGCTAAGAAGAAAAACTGAGAAAGAAAATGAAGAAAAAAAGAAGCAGCGAAAATACTAAGACGGCGCGACTTATGAAAATTTGACTTTCGCGTGCACGGTGTTTGTAAAATACTGATCTTCTTTTGCAGTGATTTTCAATATTTTAGAAAAACAAATGTATTTATGTTTTTCATCTAGAACTGAAGAGTCGAGCTGAATAATCAAAGTCAGTGTTAACTACTTCAAGACAGTCCCTATCGATGCTTACTGACCAAACATTGAAACTACAAAATCCGACAATCTAACATGGTCATGTTCGAATCAAACATAACTTCGTTCATATGTAATAATCAGGTAACCAGTCATCACGAGGGTGTTCATGGGGCAGCGAGGCGACTTCCGCACCGACGCGAATTTATCCCTGCTATATTGCAGCATTGGGAGAATAGTTTTGTTCTTGTTAAAATTTTCGTAAACGGTTCATGTAAACGAAAAACCCGTCAAAAATCTTCCATTAAAAGGTTTCTTTGGTATGAGGAGTCTCCAAGTAAATATTAGCCCAAGTAATTCTTAAAAGTCCGCTGGTTTTTAATGTACATCTCGATTGTTCGAAGCTTTGAGAGGAAAACTATGGACAAGTTGTGAATTAATAAGGAAGTTATCTCCTCGTAATCTACATCATCATCCACGTCGTCGTCGTCATATCATCAAGAGAAATTAAGAATTTATCGATAAAATATTAAAACGAAAGCACCTTGTGTCATGGCCAGTCCAAACAAGATAAAGGTCATCATCGTAAAAAGACAGCTTCTACGTTGTGAGAGGCTGTGTGTCATTTTCCAAGCTTCAGCAGATTATTCATCCGCAGGACTATCGAAGAGCAGTAATCAATACAGGAACTTAATAGTCGCTTCTGGAAGTTAATGACTTACAGCTTGATTTTTTATTTTTTCAAGTAATGCATTTCTATTGGCCAAGGCAAAGTATATACTGTACTTGTAATGACAAATTATAAAGCGAATAGCAAAGAGATAGCACCTGCAAACGAGAGCTTGAATTGGCGACATCAGGTGAACATTGACAGCTTTCCTTACCTTACTTTAAAAATATTTTCAATAATTGATAATAGTAATTGACAGTTTCATTCTTACAGCTCTAAGCTCTCCCCTTGAGTCTAATTCTGAAAAGATGAAATAATGTCCTGCAGCTAATCAGTAACTCTCTGACGTATAATGAATAGCTGTGGTCGCTTGTCTTTCGTACTTCTGACATTTATTTTTGTAGAGCAGTTGACGCCTTCCAAACATAATCAACAGTTTTGTCTATGAGATCTTTTCAAATAGAGTGGACAAACGGGCAAACAGTGGAAGAATGATTTAAGAATAAATGAATTCATAGAAAGCTTTGCAACATTAATGTTTAAGTTTAAAATTAGCGACAACTAAATTACCAGAAGCGTCCAACTTTAAAGGACTTCTATCTCGCGATTACCAAATGTTTTGCTATACGAGCTTAAAAATTGATTTCGAACGCACAAATCATTAAAAAAAAACACTTTGATGAATTGTATTCTAGCTTTCGGGAGAAGGCGTCAAACCAGCTTTCTCGGTTTGAAAAGCTGAGAAAGAGCCGAGCAAATATTGGCTTACGCTTTCGCTCTAAACATAAGCGTCATAGATACATGTAACATAAACAAACCGGTTCACTTTGGCTAAATTACACGGGATGATATACACACTAAAGAGGATATCACCCTCATCTCATTTCAGTTTGCAAAAGATTCAGCGGCTACTTTAAAAGATCTTGAAAGCGTAACATTATATTTGTTTGGTTGGATAGTCTTGTGTTTCAGGGAGTAAGTAAACAAATGATATCATCAAAGGCAAATGATGTTCTTTCATTTACAATTTTCAAGAGAAATGTTATCACTAGCAGTTTAATTAAAAAACAGTTAGATGCTACTCCCCCCCCCCCCCCAAAAAAAGATAAAAAGCAAAAAGGAAGCAAAACAAAATTCAGCCACTTTCTACTTGAGATAATTTTGAATAACTTATCGCTTCTGCTGCGATAGGCGATGCGAGAATGAACAATGGAATATCACTGACACGAAAATGCTCTCCACTATCATTGCTTTATACTTTGATAAAAGTAGTTAACTCGAAAGATATTTATTGCTGCGCTCGGTTAAAACTTTGTGGCAGAACTTCTAAAATCATTCTGTTCCAGCCAAGGCTTGTCTTCATTCATTCTTCCGTGTAGGATGAGGCAAATATAGGAAATAAATACACTTTAACATACAAAAGAAATTGCCTCAGGTAGGTTCTCGAGCTCGAGTCATCTATATCGAGCTCGGTTTCTCGGGAACAAATGTTGATCCACAACTTGGATAAATTGATCTACAATCTAATTCAGTTATAATCACTTCAGTGTTCCGGTAAGATCAAATGTATTTGTGCTGGCTGTATTTGACAAAGATTTGGGAATACTGAGATCAAAGATGGAAAGAAATGTTTTCCGCGTATTATATCTTATTTGAATTCAAGCTTGAGAAAATAAATAATAATATAGTTCCGTGCTAATTTCACCCGCCCACCTTCCCTAATTTTGCATTCCGTGTAATTCAGTTCCTTTATCAGTTTTGCCTAACTTTAGTTTCCACCAGTCACAGACCATCAAATGATAGACTTGTTTAATAAATAATGAGTCCATGATGTTGTTTCATGCTACTAATAAATGGCTCTATGCTACTTCATATAACTTAGTGTCCTCTACACAAAACCCTTGCTCCAGCAATCCTTGTCGGAACGGTTCAACTTGTGTGGCCAAGCGTGTCGATGATAATTATAAGTGCACATGCACACCAGGACTTAAAGGAAAGAACTGCCGTAAAGCTGTAGGTATTTAAATATTACCACGCTCTCAACGTATAACCTTCACTACCAATCTCGAGTTTTTAGAGCGTTATGACGGCGAGCAAACATTCAAACAGTCAGCTTTAGAAATTCTCCACTGTGACCAAAATCCATTATGAACTCGTTGATAAAACCCAGCAAATTATTTTTACAATACGTACTCAGATTTAGAATACCCAAACATCAAAATCTTGCCGACCTCATCTCGCTTACCTGGTATGATTCGCAAAGTAAGAAAGGATCTCTATACAGTTATCTCAAGAATTTTCCTTTCACAAGCTCCTTACAGAATAATATGCAGTGTCGAGGCTATTCCTCAACAAGTCCTTAAGTCCATTCCTCAGTTTTTTCGTTTTTCTATAGATTCGTAAGAACATGAAGCCTCAGTAGCTTGTTCTTTAAATTTTCATTTCTTTTCAGTCGCCCGTGGTGAACTTGTGATTTGTCTCTAATGTTTCCCTCCTTTCATCATATGGTAAGTTTAGATAGTTCCTGTTTCGAATTTCGCTTCGCTGGGTAATCTTTGATGTGTTTTGCAGGTTATTACGGCTTGTTACGAGTTCCTAATCCAAAATGGAAGGTTGTTGTGCTAGCAGTTTGTGACGTTCTCCGCCCGATCAATAAAGACGTTGTTTGGAAGGCCAAAACTGCATGTCCGGCCCGGACATGCGGTTTTACTACATCCATATTGAAATCACTTGACTGTGATCCCTGCAAACTGACTGGCTCTCATCGATGCGATTTAATCACAAATTGCACCACATTATGTTCTTAATCGCATCTTTTTCCCAGCCAATGAGACAGCTTTACTAAAACACAGCAACCAAACAAATTTCAAGGCTTGTTTGAAGAAATCAATCAAATTGCAGGAAAATGAGAGACAAATTTTGCAACTTTTTACAAACCAGTTCATTTTACTAGATCAATAAAATACCTGTACAGCCGAAAAGCTTCTTGTATTGAGCGACTGAATTTTGCGATTCAAAATAGATGTGATAAAGTGGTAATTGAACTTCGTTTATTGCAACTTTGGATTGAAATCGTAATGATTCTTGTGATTTGAAATCAAAAATGCGCTGCACGCTCGTCTGATTTGAAATCAAGCGTATGATTTCAGACCAAATTGCACTTCACTCAGTTCGATAACCATTACTTCTATATTTAGAGGTGGTGGCGGCGTATTGACACATCTATACAAACACATGAAGTCCATAATTATTCTAACTTGACACTTGTTTAAGTGTTCAGACTCTCGTGTTACATCGAGATATTACATGCTGATCACCGCTACATTTTGGAGTTAAGGGTTAACGTTATCTGTTATCTTGCTTCAAAAGTAAGCAATCTCCGAAAGAAAAGCAGCGACGAATCTCTTAACACAATTATTATGACCAATGATGATTAATAACTTGTTGTCAAGGAGAGAAGAACAAAAAGGATATTACTAGTACCAGCAAGCAAACTTTTACTGATTGAACGCCCAGAAAACATTTGAAATAAATGCATGTTATATCTAGGTCTGCCTTGGTGTTTACCATGGAACCAAGAAAGGAGAAAACTTATCGTAGGCCGATACTGATGCGCCTTTTATCATGGACTTCATGACCTTTTTCACCAAATGCCACGCCACCCTTCTGGCCATGTGAATTAGTGAACGCAGTGCGGAAGAATGACGCGCTAACATCGGAGCACCAATAGGTGCATGTCATAAAACAACCCCCTGTGTGGGCAGAAATCAGGAAGCCCCTGTAGAACGGATCATCACAAATCAGAAGCTGGTAGGAATAAGCTGGATCAGCCCCCACACCGTCCCACAACCCATAGGAGTATGCAGATTTTCCGTAATTGAGGGAGGCCTTAATAGCTTGATTGTTTCGTGACTTGAAGTAAATCTTCTTTCCAGTTTTGTGATCCTCAAAGATGATTTCTGTGAACTGAAATAATCATAATGAAATAATAAACTTAATAATTCTGGTGGAAAGCAGAGTAAGGAGAATCAATACAGAATGGAGGAGTCAGTCTGTCTAAAACGTAATTTAAAAGAGATAGAGGAACTTAGCAATAAATTTGAACAACATTAACATCAACGACCAAACAGGTAGTTGTTATAGACGGCTTTTTTGTGGAGTCCTAGAAGCAAGGTGGTCACATTAAGTTATTCACATACAGCTGTTTCGAGAAAGTTTGCTTGAAAATGAGGCAAAAGTGCAAGCGACAATGTTAAAGGATAATCTGAATATCCAGAAACTCCTTTTACTTCACTAAGCGAAATAAATCCGTTAATCAATCAAACCCACTGTGTCTCGTTCTTAGAATGACGTTTTCTCAGATTTCCTGAAATCTTGAGGTCGCCTACTCACAATATCTTTCGGAGTTATCACGTGCACTTTTACACTTTTTTTTCCGACAACCTTTCACGAAACTGCTATATTCAATTGCATGTGCCCAAGGATGATAATGGAGTAATGTGCTTTATATTAAAATCTCGCAAAAAGGAATGTCTGTGGTATGATCATTAATATCAACTAACAAACTTACTGGGATGTTGTTGCAATCGGTTCTGTAGCCGTCACTTCCATAAGGAAACTGGGCGTTGTATGTGACCTCACTCTTAGGTCTGACATATTCATCGGTAGTGTAACACATGGTCCATCCTCCATTGTGTGACGTCATGTCACAGTAGGCCTGAAATGCATTGAAATGGCTTCCTCCATCCGGGTCCAACCACTACATGCCATTACCCCGGGAAAAACCTCGTTCCTTAATGTCCAGGCAATGAAGTCCAACAAATGGACCTGAACATTAAAAGGAATGATAACTGAGTCTATGTGGCTAATAGAAGTTGGTTTATCAGTATGACTTATGACTTATGAATTCTTGTTATTGAGGTTGACAGAATCGCAGGTTAAATAAAATGAATAGCAAAAGCGCTAAAAAATTGTTTAGTTGGAAATAAATTGCGGTCAGTTTTCTGCATAGCTTAAAAGAATACGAAACAGAAAAAAAAAGTCAGAGTAAACTGAGCTAACCCCCCTCCCCCTTCTGCGCTCGGATTCTCCCCTCGTAGAGGTCTTTCTTTCACGTGTAGCACTCGGTTTTTTATTTTCATTTTAATGGAACCAAAGTGAAACTTTCGCGACCAGTAGAAGACTACAGGGCCCAGTTGTTCAAAGGGCCAATAACGCTACCCAACCGAAAAATTTTTATCCATTAAATAAGTTTTAACGTACTGCGCTATCAATCGGATAGACACATGATCTATCCGGTGGACACTGTTATCCATGCTAAGAACAACTACGGCCTGGAGACTGATTGAGAAGAAACAGGAAGAAACAACGAGTAGAAAAGAAAAGAATGGAGATGGAAGAGGCGGAGTAAGAGATACCTTTACTGCAGTCTTTGCCGTTGTAAAATGGTGGACATATGCTGCAGTGATAATCGTTTTCTTTGTAATTTACCACACAAGTTGCATTGCTTATGCATGGATCGCTGAAGCAAGGAGTCTGTTTCAACAAAATAAAACAATAATTCTCATCTTTTTTGTTAAACAACAAATAGATTCCAAGTTGTCCTACGTCTGTTTTAAAAAGAGATCACAGATGACGTCAAAAGTGTTAAGCATTAAAAATCGGCACACGAGGCGTAACGGAGCGTGAACTGGTGACTGATTTCTTGTGATAGATAAATATAGAAAGAATCCTAATATTGTTATCGGTGCAGACGTCTGTGCCTCTTTCCTCCAATAGATCATTAGTAAGAACCGCTTTACATGCATTTATAGCTTAGTTGAGATATTCAAGATTGACACGCTAAGTTTTCTTTCTAACAAAGGGACCACCATTACTATAACGAGGTCTGTGTCACTGAGGCAAGAGAATTAAAGTTTATATTCTCTTGACTGAAGTTATCATACAAAATCACAGCTGTCAAATGACACTTTCAATCACGCACTTTCCTATCAGCAGCAGCCCCAATTGATTTACTCAAGGGGGAGGGGACGTATAGCTTAAACTGAAACAAGATTGCACTTACAGTTTTACTGAAATGATGGAATATGGGATTGCTGATGAGTTCATTGGGTTCCCTGTGCTTATCGGACGGAAGCAGTTCACACAACAGCTTTCCCCAGTTATCAGGAAATGCAGCCAGGTTGTACGAAAAACACGAAGTGATTTCCAAGCAGGCAAATCCACACTCGCTACCATCTTGGACAAGTTCTGAACCAATTCTTGTAATATTTAAGTAAGAAAACGCTTCAGGTTTGAAGTTGAGGTAAGACACACCCGCAGAGGAATCCTGGCGATGGAAACCTTGTAACGAGAGAAATCATATCTAAGTTAGTTTTGCACGGAAGAGTGGCTGAGGGCGGCCCCGTTTACATAGAAACAGGAAACTTGTCGACATCATAACACAGCAGTTTACATGTTGAACTTATAAGGTTTAATTTGTATCATAACATTGTCAGCCTCCGGTTCCGTGCCGACCAAAGAATCAGTTTACTCGTCTCCATCTCGCTCCTTAACTCTCGTTTCACCGGAGAAATAAAGAATTGACTCTGGGTCGACGTGAAAAAGGATACGTAGCCGAAAAATGATGGCGTGACCTGTGAAATTTGGCCACAAATTTGCGAGACAATTACCATCACCTCTTTTTTTCCTGTTCCCGAGTAAAACAAAGATCTGTACTGTCGATTTTGGAGGGATGTTTTATCAGCTTTTCAAAAGAAGTCTATATAGGATATCCTTCCCTTTATTAAATGATAAAAGTCAGCGTTAGATATCGCTGCACGAGACAACCTATTTTGATGCCTAGCCAGAAAAAATCCACGCAAAATTCGGTTAATGTCCTGCATAACATGGTCATGATTTAATACTAAGTTCCTTTTTCTTTTGAGGAGGAAGAACTAAGAAATAGTAAATAAGTAAGGCAATTTACCTTTAGTTGTGGCAAAGAGAAAAATTAAGGTCATCACTACAGTTAGACCGATTTGTTGCGGTCGTGGATTCAGCGCCGTTGCAATCCGGAGCATCATGACTAAAGTGTTGACAACAAGACCTTCAGCGTCTTCAATTTTTTCTGTGGTGTGAAGTGTAAGATACTTTTTCAAAGAAGCAACACCTGTGGGTCCATCTAAATGATGAATTAAATGAATAGGCCTGTGTTCACGAATTAATATTTTAACTAGGCTTGCGTTCACGAAAGGTGGAATTCTATCGAGGAATCAGTTGGAGATAACCCATTCAGAACCATATTATTAACTAGAATTCAGAAACTGTTATCAAATTCGATGAAAAGCGCTAGCTTCCTGCCATGGATACAGGCGTACATCACATCAAGAAAAAAGTGAAAGATAAAAAATGAAAGAAAACGTGCGATTGTGCTTGAACGCCTTAGTGGTTAACAGATTTTATTTACAACACCACTAACAACCATTAACACATCTTTTGTTGCCATTGTTTTAGGACGAGTTCGAAATGCATCTCTGATTATATTTATTTAGCCATATAACAGTCACCGTCCTTACTACGTAAACAATAACAACTTTTCTTACCCTAGGAAGCCAATTACATATTGACTTGAATATCTGCACCTGACAACGACATTGAACGCGGGAGCCAATCAGAGAATGATTTAAGACAAGAATTTAATAACCTCTCGTTACGCGGATTGGCAATTTCGTCCAACAAATGAAGCTGCGCGATTATCAGCTGAATTGAACGAGTCATTCATAATACAAATGGATGTTTACGAACTCGTTTTCGATTTACTGCAGGCACAGAAAGTTACAATCAAGACTGTTCATAAGGGACTGAGATGTTACTTGAAAAAAACTGTAAACAAACTGATTACAACATTGTTAAGACATGATTAGTCATTTTTTTTATAACCTGTCATCTCAGTTTTCCCCTTTAGACAGAGGCTTGATGCCAACAGAAAATGTCAACTGTTTACCTCGGTTTCTCTGTTTACTGCTTTGCTAAGCCAATGAACGTACGTATGCGTAGCATTAAAAATACATAATCCTTCTACTTTCTTTCTAAACAAATCTTGTTGTTCGTAATCATTCCACATGCTTAACTATTTTTTTCAATGGTTTATATATTGAAAACAAGCTACAAAATGTTGCGTTTATAAAATTACAACAACACAAAAATCACTCTTTACATTAATATATGTGAAATATTCTCTCAAGAGAGTGTGGCGTCATATTAAGATGAAGCCCTCTGTCTTTTCTTGTTACCTTGGTTGGTTAATGACAGAGGGATGTTACACGTAGATTGCCTCTACAACTACTACTACGAATACTTCCTTTATTTTATAGTGACACAGATTTTACTAAATCAACATGTAAATTGCTTGAAGTCCTACTTCTACTTCTTTCTCTATTGTATTGCGACACAGATTCCACCACATTTATACAATCTGCGCATAGGTGTAGGATGGACAAATTTTGGCGTGTGTTGGTAATATATATTCAATTACCATGCAGTTACAAGTTTAAAGCTAAAGCTGTCTTTTATCGTGAGCCAACGCTGATGCGCCGTTTATCATGGACTTCAAGACTTTTTAGTCGCAAATTAATGCATCCTAAACGTAGGATCACTTAAAGTTTGGCTGACATTACAAGCCCAACCAACGTGGAGAAGCCATTTCTGAACATACTTAAATTGATATAGAGGATAAATATTATGCTACATGCCTCGATCTCTGATCATTTCGCAGACTAACATATTCATATCTTGAAAAAATACGCAGAATCTAGCGTTACTCTGTAGGATTGGTTCACTACGTGATAGAAATTAGATTACAGTGGCAAGGACATCAGAAACAAACCAACTTCAGATGTACTCGGCACACGCCCCTGAAAACTACTTAGAGGTCTCCTCTTAAAATATGTATCTTATTATCATTGTTATTATCATTATTATCATTATCATTACGTGATGGGGCGGGGCTATCTAGAGATACGACTAGGCCTATCTTGATTGTACGCGTTAAATTCTGGAAAGTTGCTCGTTAAAATGCCAAATTGTTGTTGCTGAAAAATTGCAAATTCATACAAAAAGTTGCTACCTAAATTTCTTGATATTTTATTCAAAACGTTAATCTGAATCTTTACGTTCGTTATTCACAATAATTGCAAACATTCGTCAAGAAAAAACCTTGAAACATAGCTGTGATGAGTTGCTTGCAAATATGGGCGAAATTTAAGAATACTCTTATGCCTAAAGGAACAAGATACATGTTTCATTTGACGTCTTGCCATCTTACAATATCAGATAAGAATCGCAACGGGCATGAGAAAAGTTGTCAAGTGTTGATAAACATTCAGAAATTTGCATAGATTAAAGTTTTCTATCAAATTGTTGACTATTTTGTGCTTGAAATGTGCCTTAAACCTATATTACGCAATCAGGCAATAAGGCAATAATTGCTCGAGGTTGTTAGGACCACAAAAAGTTGCCCCAAACACAAAAAGTTGCTCATAAGTTGCCGTGCACAATCGGGACAAGCCTAGATACGATTAGTATGTTATGCTCATGATTAAATATGACACACCTAAGAAGGAAATTATGTATGCACTCAATCCGTAAATGTCTCAGCGCAGACCGACACTGATGAGTCTTTTATTGACTGATCGGTGGCCATTGATGTTAAAGGCCACACCAAAGTAACTCGAACTGGTAGATGCAGTACGGAAGTATGGGGAGACATAATCGCCACACCAGTGACCACACTGCTTATAACAATTTGTATAACCAGAAACTAAGAAGCCACTGTAGAATGAGGTATCACAGATCAGTAGCTGATAAAGGTAGGCGTCGCTCACTCCCACACCGTCCCATAATCCATAAGTAGAAGCACCGTTCCCATAATTCAAACTGGCCGTTATAGACTGGTTGGTTCTTCGCTTGAAATACACTTTAGCCAAAGTTTGATGATCCAAGAACATAATCTCTGTAAACTGGAAAAAGAGACAATGCTTTGTATTATATGGTGCGAAATTCCGACCTTTTTACAGCCTTAGTCTAGGTTTTATGTGCTTTAGTATTTTCTTTAGTATAAGAAGATACAGCAGCAGCCATTTTCAGTGCAGTAAACGAATAGATACGAGTATATGAAATGCATTATAAGGAGAGAATTGTTTAAAAAATTTTCTAAAATTTAACACAAAAATACTAACAAACCATTATGTACATCGACACACCTATTTGTGCGTCATGCAAAAACACAAAAAATGAAATCGTGTTTCGAGATCCATACGCATATATACTAAGCGATCCATATTCATAGAGATAAGAGGTTATTCAATCAACTTACAGAGATTTTGTTGCAGTTGGTCCTGTAGCCGACATTTCCATAAGGAAAAGAGGCATTATATGTGACCTCGGTCCTGGGTTTGACATATTCATCGGTAGTGTAACACATGGTCCAACCTCCATTGTATGACGTCATATCACAGTAGGCCCAGAATGCATTTGAAAGGCTTCCTCCATCCGGGTCCAATTGATACATACCATTTCCCCCAGAATCACCTCGCATCTTAATGTCTTTGCAGTCTTTCCCCGGAGCTTAGAAAGGGAAAAAAATCAGCATACAGCTCACTCAAGTCGCAATAGATATCGAAATAAATGTAGCACTGAGCAAGATATAGTTGGATGGTAATAAATTGAACATGCTACGTCGACACACCTATTTTTATTTGACAGTGTTTTCCTTTAAATCCTGGAGAGCATGCGCACTGATAATCATCATCGCTGTACTTGGCCACACAATTTGAACCGTTCATGCAAGGATCGCTGGAGCAAGGGTTCTGTTTAAAATGAATAAGCTGTCAGTAGCATGAAGTAATATCAACGACTCATTTATTAAACAGCTCTATCAATTGATGGTCTGTGATTGGTGAACACTAAGTTGAGAAAAAATTAGAGAACATGGGCTGATGAAATTACTTCCAAATATGTATTCTCGACTTTCGTTGGCCACTAATACTGAATGCTATAAATTTGATTCACACTATTCCTCTGACGACCATTTGAAAAAACTGGAACAAATAAATTTGCACCTACCGGGATACTGAAATGATTGAAAGTCAGGCTGTAGATGAATTTGTCTGAGTTGTTATACTTGTCTGATGGAAGTAGTTCACATGCCAGTTTTCCATTGGCATCGGCAAAAGCAGCCAGGTTGTAAGAGAAACATGAAGTGATTTCCAAACAGGCAAATCCACACTCGATGTCCTTTTGGACAAGTTGTGAGCCGATTCTTGTGATGTTGAGGTAAGCAAACTCTTTAGGCTCGAAGTTGACGTGAGAAACACCTGCAAGGAATCGAGTCAAGATTTTACATTTTAAGTTCAAATAAAGCTTCCCCTTCATATATCGTGCAAAAGTATATTTCTGTGTTGAAGAAATGTCATAATCTACGTCAAAGTTATTTATTCCGATGCTCTTTAGCGATTTTGAGAAACACTGAAGGGTTTGCATGACTAATTAATATACATAATATCGAGTAAATATGCCGTAAATAAATTGATGGTTTCAATGGGCCAAAAATGTGAACCTCAAGCTAAAACCAGCAAGCCAAAACTTTGCAGATATTTTCTAGCGCCTTGGACCCAAAAATAAGTGAAAGAGGTCGCCATAAATGCATGAGTTGGAGAGAAGAAAATGGTAAATCTCCTGTGCAGTTTCATTTCAGCTGCGATTTCCCGTCGAATTTTCAACCCTTTCAACATTTTTTCCCGTTCCATCCCGACTTAGATAGATGTTTTGGAGCAAAATAAAAAATAAATATGCTAATCTACTACACTGCTTTCGAAAAGAAATGAGAATGAGGACCTCTGAAGCAAAGAAATTAGCTTTGGAGTTAAAGGTACTTCGTTCCCAAACGCGATGCGAAATATATCTGGGAAAGAACAAAGTCATATTCCTGACTTTAAGTGAGGCTTTGCGACAAGGGGACAATTATTTAGAACGGTAAATATCATCTATATATTTTAATATGTCCCAAAAGTGTTGTTCAATAAAAGATTTTGGTTTAAATCGTAAAATTTTGAGAGGTTTCAACGCGAAGTCTCGCAATTTTCTGGCCGTCAATTTCAATAAACAACAATTCATGCTGAATCTACTTCACGGTCTCGTAGTAAATGCAAGAAACTCGTTCATTTTAAGCTTTTTATCAGCTGTTAAGTTGTGGTTGCCAAATATTTCTTGTTCGTTTATGCCTTGTCTTTTACTCAATGTTTACGGGCAAATCGCGATTACTTGGTAAACCCGACACAATAACAATGAGGCTATTTCTTAAAACACAAGTTGGCCGCTTTGTCATAAAAGAATTGGTTCATGCTTTTAGCTGTGCAACTACAGTTATGGATGCACTTAAGAAATTTGTTTCTCCAAACTTCCCGCGTGCATATATAACTCGATATACGCACGGTAAGCATGAAATAATTCTTTGATGATATGAAGAGAAAATAAGAATGTATCGATAAAACATTAAAGAGAAAGCACCTTGTGTCAAGGCCAGTCGAAACAGTATAAAGGTCATCATCGTAAAAAGACAGCTTCTACGTTGTGAGAGGCTATGTTTCATTTTCCAAGCTGTAGCAAATTATTCATCTGTAGGACTATCGAAGGGCAGTAATCAATACAGGAAGTTAATAGTCGTCTCTGGAAGTTAATGACTTAAGGGTTATTTCTGTTTTTTAAGTAATGCATTTCTATTGGCCGAGGCAAAGTTAGTATTGTGCCCCTAATAACAAATTATAAAAAGCGAATAGCAAAGAGATAACACCTGCAAAACGAGAGCTTGAATTGGCGACATCTGATGAACATTAATAGCTTTCCTTATCTTACTTTAAAAAAAAATTTTCAATAATTGATAATAGTAATTAACAGTTTCATTCTTACAGCTCTAAGCTTTCCTCTTGCGTCTAATTTTGGAAAGATAAAATAATGTCATGTAGCTAATCAATAACTCTCTGACGTATATATATATATTTGTCTTCCGTAATTCTGACATTTATTTTGCAGAGCAGATGAGGCCTTCCAAACATAATCAACAGTTTCGCCAAGAGATCTTTTCAGTTAGATAAAAGTGGACAAACGGGCAAACACTTGATTTGAATAATGTCTAAAGAAGTTCCTCAGTGGAAGTATGGTTTAAGAGTACATTAATTCATAGAAAGCTCTGCAATATTAATTTTTAATTTTTTAATTAGCAATAGTTAAATTACCAGAGGCGTCAAATGGGGGAACAACTTTAGAGGACTTATAACTTGCGGTTAACAAAATGTTTTGCTATACAAGCTTAAAAATTCATGTCGCACGCACAAATCATTAAAAAAACCCGCCTTGATGAATTGCATTCTAGCTTTCGAGAAAAGGAGTCACACCAGCTTTCTCAGTTTGAAAAGCTGAGAAAGAGCCAAGCAAATATTGGCTCACGCTGTCGCTCGTGTCATAGATACGTGTAACATAAACAAAACGGTGCATTTTGGCTAATTTACACGGGATGGAATACACACGTAAGAGAATATCACCCTCACCTCATTTTAGTTTGCAAAACATTCATTTTACCATTCTAAATTGAAGTGTTATCATTAGCAGTTAAATTAAAAAACATTAGACCTTTTCTCAACACTAAGCTCAAAGAAATTTACGAGGGCACTTTGGCTCATGCTATTTATTTAATAAGCTTGCGTGGTTAGCGGCATGTCAACTTTCTGTTCTTTCAGATAGCTAATTTAGACATCATTTGCATCGTAAATGTCATATAAAAAATTGGGGTCGTTCGCTTGCTGCTTGTGAAATGGATATATTGTGAACTGAAGCTCGAAGAAAATGGAACACAGCCTCCTCAAAAAAAGAAGCTGTCTTGCTTCGATGACAATCTTTCTCTCCTTTGGTTTGACTATAACTCAAGGTACCTATAGCTACTTTTCAATGGTAAATTCTTTCAATTTGGTTTGACCAAATTTAACAAGTTTTTATAGCTATTATCCAGGTCAAATACAACAACAGTAACCTTAAAGCTTGGTTCTATGAGCTTGAAGGTGGAAACTCAAGCACGCCATCTTCCTGAAACTCACAACTATCTTGCATCATTAGAACCATAATTATGTAAATTGAAATCAAAGAAAACAACTCATTCATTTATTCCCTTTATCTCTCACTCGCTCGCTCGCTCACCCACTCGATCACCGTTTACTCGTTCTTTTATTCAGGTATCCCTTCCCTCCTTCCTTTCTTCCTCTGTTCATTTAATTATTTATTTTTCCGTTTTTACATCAATCTCATCTTCTCAGGAAGAAACCAAAAGGCTACCATGGTTTTTATCATCCTCAAGCCTGTGTTCTTTTCCAATTTAAACATTACCGGCAAAAATCGCATCCACACATGTCCCTGATTGTATCGACTGTGGATTATCCTGTTTAAAAGCGACTTCGTGTTTTTCGTATAACCTGGCTGTATTTCCTAGTGTCAACAGAAAGCTGCTCTGTGAGCTGCTTCCATATCACAAATATAACAACTTGGATAAATTAACCTACAGTGCGATTTATAATCACCTCAGTGTTCCGGTAATATCAAATGTATTTGTGCTAGCTGTATTTGACAAAGATTTGGGAGTACTGAAATCAAAGATGGAAAGTAATGTTTTCCGCTTGTTATATCTTATTTGAATTCAAACTTGAAAAAATGAATTATTATATAGTTCCGTGCCAATTTCATCTGTCCACCTTCCCTAATTTTGCGTTGGGTGTAATTCAGTTATTTTATCGCTTTTGCCTAACTTTAGTTTCCACCAGTCACAGACCATCAAATGATAGGCTTGTTTAATAAATAATGAGTCCATGATGTTGTTTCATGCTACTGATATATCGCTTTATGCTACCTCATGCAACTGACACTTTGTTTCCTATACAAAGAACTCTTGCTCCAGCAATCCTTGTCGGAACGGTTCAACTTGTGTGGCCAAGCGCGATGATGACGATTATAAGTGCACATGCACACCAGGATTTAAAGGAAAGAACTGCCGTAAAGCTATAGATATCCAAATGTTATCACGCTCTCAGCGTATGACCATCACTACCAATCTCGAGTTTTCTGAGCGTTTTGACGAAGAGCAAACATTCAAACTGTCAGCTTTAGAAATTCTCTATGGTGACAAATTTACATCATTTTATATAAAAACCCGACGAATTATATTTGCAACATATACTCAGATTTAGATTGCTTAAACATCAAAATCTTGCCGACCTCATCTCGCTTACCTGGTATGATTCGCAAACTTGGTCTGATTCGAGTGTTCATTCGTTTACAATAAGAGAGAATAAATAAAAGAAAATTATCAGTACCAACAAGCAGACTTTTAATTATTTAACGGCAGAAAACGTTTGAAATAAATGCATGTCATATTTAGGTCTGCCTTGGTGGTTATTATGGGACCAAGAAAGGAGAAAACTTATCGTAGGCCGATACTGATGCGACTTTTATCATGAACATCATGATCCTTTTCACTAAATGCCACGTCACCCTTCTCCCCATGTGAATTAGTGAACGCAGTGCAGAAATAAGGAAGCCCCTGTAGAACGGATCATCATAAATCTAAAGCTGGTAGGAATAAAAAGCCAGATCAGCTCCTACGCCGTCCCACAATCCATAGGTGTGTGTAGATTTTCCATAATTGAGGGAGGCCTTGATAGCACGATTCTTTCGAGACTTGAGGTAAATCTTCTTTCCAGTTGAGTGATCCTCAAAGATGATTTCTGTGAACTGGAATAATTATAACAAAGTAATAAAATTTTAAGTTAGAATGCAGCGGTATTTCATTTTTTGCTTAATAACTAATGCTTATATTCAATTCACGAAAATTCTGGTCGAGAGCCGAGTAAGGAGAATCGATACAGAATGGTGGAGTCAGTCTCTGTAAAACGTAATTTACAAGAGATAGAGGAACTTAGCCATAAATTTAGAAAAAAGTAACATAATGGAACGAACAGGTAGGTATTGTAGTCGCCATTCAGTGGAGTCCTAAAAGCGAGACGTTCACATTGAGTTATTTACAACTGTTTCGAGAAAGTTTGATGGAAGAAGAGGCTGAAGTACATGCGACAATGTTAAAAGGTAATCTGGGTATCCAGCTATCAATGAATTTAAATAAATGAAATGAATTGGTTTATCAAGTAAACAAATGTCCTAAGAATGACGTTTTTCTCAGATTCCCTGAAATCTTGAGGTGAACTAACTACAATACTTTTCGGGGTTATCACGTGCACTTTTACGCTTTTCTTCCGAAAACATTTCACGAAACTGCTATATTCAATTGCATGATAATGGAGCAATGTGCCGTATATTAACATCTCGCAAAAAGGAATGTCTATGGTATGATTATTAACATCAGCTAACAAACTTACTGGGATGTTGTTGCAATCGGTTCTGTAGCCGTCACTTCCATAAGGAAACTGGGCGTTGTATGTGACCTCAGTCTTAGGTCTGACATATTCATCGTAGTGTAACACATGGTCCATCCTCCATTGTGTGACGTCATGTCACAGTTGGCCTGAAATGCATTGAAATGGCTTCCTCCATCTGGGTCCAACCAGTACATGCCATTACCCCTGGAAAAACCTCGTTCCGTAATGAAGTCCAACAAATGGACCTGAATATTAAAAGGAATAATACCTGAGTTTATGTAGGTAAAAGAAGTTGGTTTATTAGAATGACTTGACTGGACTGGCACGCGTTTTGTGTACACGTGCATACTTGAAACTGATAATTCAGTGTTTTGGATTAGCGTGAATACTGTTCGTTTTGACTGGTCAGGCGTTGAAAATTGTGTTTCAATAGAGCAAGGAAAAACTAATTAGGAAACGTCCAGAAAGGAAACGAAACCTGGTTTCAGTAAGCAGAAGGTTGGAATCATCGGGGATTCTTGTTATTGAGGTTGACAGAATCGCGGGTTAAATTTAAGCGCTGAAAATTTTTTTAGTTGGAAACATATTGCGGTCAGTCTTCTGCATAGCTTAAAAGAATACGAAACAGAAAAAAGAGTCGGAGCAAACTGAGCTAACCCCCCTCCCCCTTCTGCGCTCGGATTCTCTCCTCGCAGAGGTCTTTCTTTCACGTGTAGCACTCCGTTTCTTTTTTTTTTATTCTTATGGAACCAGAGTGAAACCTTCGCGTCCAGTAGAAGACTACAGGGCCCGGCAGTTCAACGCTACCTAACAGAAAAATTGTTATCCACTAAGTAAGTGTTAAAAAACGTACTGCGCTATCAATCGGATAGACACATGATCTATCCGCTGGATACCGTTATCCATACTTCGAACAACTACGGCCTGAAGACTAACTAAGGAGCAACAGAAAGAAACATAAGAAAAAAAAGAGAAACGAGCTGAAAAGAAAAGAACGGAGATGGAAGAGGCGGAGAAGGAGATACCTTTACTGCAATCTTAAAAATGTAAAATGGTGGACATGTACTGCAGTGATAATCGTTTTCTTGGTTATTTACCACACAAGTTGAATTGCTCATGCATGGATCGCTGAAGCAAGGAGTCTGTTTCAACAAAACAAAACAATAATTCTTATCTTGTTTGTTAAACAACGAATAGATTCCATGTTGTCCTACGTCTGTTTTAA